ATAGGAAGTTTTTAAACTTATTTGGCTTTAAATAGATTTTTTTTTAATGAAAGTTGATAACAAAAAAATAATTTTTTTCTCATTGCTGCTTTTCCATGAAAGAAACATGGAAACTAAGTAGTATCATCCGTTGTTGTGCTTGAACATTTCAGTTGTAAAACCGTGGCTTATGCCTATGTGGGGAAGTGCTCTGTCGGTCAGCAGCAGTGTTCATTATATGCGCACTCAGGTTACACACACGGAAATGTATCCCAGATGCCCTGTGTCTCATCCTCTTCGATTATCCCCATCTTTCTATCCTTGTATTGCCCCTAGATTTGCTAGGCTTGAATTTTCTTAGGCTTCATTTGGTAATTTTCATTGACGTATTTATGATTGCTATCTACTTCTAGCTATTGTCTTGCCATCCTTTTCCAGAAAGGGTTTTTTATAAAATTGTTCATTATAATATTGGTAATATTGTGGAATACTTACCTGTAACAAAGTCTTCTGATGCACACCCTGATTTCCATTAATACCAGTAAGTTTTTCCCCCAATACAGTCTCAGATTTTCTTATTTCTTAACTAATTTTTTTTCTAGGAAACTGATCAGGCAGATGTAGACATCTGATTGTTTTTCTTTTATAACCTTTGTACTTAATTATCTTACAGTGGGTAATGTCCTTGTATCACATTAGATTATTAATGCAATGGTATACAAAGAAATTAAATTTGGGTATAACTGAGACCTAATTCTTAAACCAAGTGACACCAAACATAATACATCAATAGGTAAAATTATTGCTCAGCCGGTGGCATGGTATTGCTATTTTGCTACTTTCTTTGTGATTTATTTGATACTAAGGATAACAGTAACTGACAGAGGAAATCTGTTGACTTGATTTTGACTGACAAGATTTCACATGTGCTGGAACATACTTGGTTGCAGTTTCTATAACAATGCTGTCCCAATTTTTGTGGGTTATACTTAAGATGAGATCTAATTCTTCTTAGATCTGCTTTTATCAATGGGTATCAGTGGGGTATGACATGAATAAATAGTGAGCACAGGAAATATTGCTGTCCTGTTATCATTACATATTTGATTTGGCAAGTTAATAACATGACTGTATTCTATTTATCGGAGATAATCATCAGTGCTGAGTTTGGGCCCAGAAAATGGTTATATCTTTTCCCAAACCAAATCCATATGGAAATTTCCAAGAAAATCACTTTGACAGCAGATTACTAGTTTTACTGCAGGCCAGATGCAAACTGAAGGATACTGAACTTGCTGGTGCTTTCATCTTGGAGCTGCCAAATCTATTGCATTTCCTTTTTTATTTCTTCCTCAAAAGTGGGTCATACTTGACTTCACTTTTCTAAAAATACTAAGTTACAGAAAACACACTGGATACTGGAAAATATAGACTTATATTGAGACATGCTCAGATATTAGATTTTCTGATTCTCTATTAAAATTTCCTCAATAGTAAAGAAAGAAAGCAATAATCTATCGTAATAAAAAATAGTGTCCAAAAGATATTGAAACCTATTCCAACTGTACCTAACAGAGCAGATACAACTTTCAGCCAAGTGAGAAAAACCTAGGCAGATCCCAATTAATTCTGTGCATTCCTAAATGTATCATAAATTTTCCAGTATTTGTAGAAATAAGTGGGAATGCTACCTTTGTTCTTTGGGTGCTCACATACTTGGGGACACCCAGAAGGAATCTCCTTTTATTTTTTTTAAGCACAGGCAAAAATAATGCAACAGCTGCTTTGTTAGGTTGCTGTGACAGCTGCATTGAGGCCAGTGTGTGATGTCTGTATGTGTTCAACTCCTTCCAGGATTCTCCCTTGGCTTCAGCAGTCATTTCCACTGCTGGCGGAGAAGCTCCGTACATGGAGATGCATGATATGAGAGAACACGTCAAGAAAAAACACAGGTTTGTTTCCATAGCTCAGTGGTCCTTGGCACCTCAGCTTCCACTAACATCAGCCTCCTTGTGTGTCCATTGCCAACACAAAGACATGCCTCCTGCCTTCTACTGCCCTGTATTGTTATCTGCTTCAGACACCCCCATCACAGCTATCATCAGAGTATGGGGCTTATAATTGTTAGCCATTACATCCTTCCCTGTTTTCTTTGACCATTGTAGCTGACGGTCCATCATGCTGGCACAATCAATGTGGGCCATTGCTGTCCACATCTGAGAAAATGCCATCTCCAGTGCTGATAAAAATTTGTTTAAATAGGAGAGTAAATGGAAGGAAAAAAAATGGACTTTAGCAACGTTCAGGGTCAATATTCTGAGATGCTTAGGTTTTATTTCATCTACCTGCATAGTTTTTGAGTTGTGTTTGTTAATTTGTTTTACCTCTTTATTTGTGTATAATGCAAATTGTTTTTATATTCAACTGAACAAATTTCTGACTAATAGCAAAAAACTATTTGTGTATAATGCATGAGTATAGCTGTTCTCCATAAATCCTTGTATCCTTTCTATTAACTCATTTTCTGGCTACTGACAGTTTTAGGGGGAGGATAAACACACTGGCCAAGGGTAATCTGGTTTTATATTTTGTGACACTGAGAGGGGAAAGCTCTCTGACAGCATGCATGAACCTTGGACAGGGTTATATATAGAAGACTCACCAGTTCCTCAGGGGAAAAAGAAACCTTTTCAACCCCGTATAAAGTACAAGAATAATCTAAGTTAAAACCTGCCTGAGGGCAAACAGTGTGTAACAATTCAGAGTTTACCCTTGGACAGGGAGCATGTTGGGTCTTGACTGTACTCTCTTTGCACTTTGTGTAATCATTTATACTTCTGTGAAGTAACAGCAAAATACCACCTTCTGTCTGATTTAGGCTTTGATTATATTTTACATGGCTCTGTGAAGCTATGTATGAAGAAGGCTTCCAAATAAGAGATTACATCTGAAATCCTCCTATAGGTCATTCACAGGCTGTTAAGCATGCTAGAAATTCTGTCATAGAGTGCACTGGCAAGCTTAGCAAGTTATTTTACAGTGGCTTAAGAAGGTTTTGCCTTGGCTTCTGACCCCACTCATCTGCTGTAGCTGCTATCTCTGTAGCAGAGCTGGTGGGGGACAATGTGGATACATGACTTAGCAGCTCTGGTGTAAAGGTTAGTACTTTAGCAACAGGGAAAGCAGGTGGATTTTCACTAAAATGCCAAACTGAGTAGAAATATCTGAGCAGTAAGGACATGCTATTTTCTGCTGGGCTGGAAGGTTGGGAAAGGGGTCAGAAGGAAAGATGGGTAACCTTCAAAAGAGGGGTAGCACAGGAGGGTGAGTGGCAGCATCCTAAATTGCACAGCATGACCACCAGTACCAGCTGGTTTGACAACAGTGATTTATGGTTTCAGGTACCTCTCTTCTAGAAGCTACTGCATTTAAACCTCCAGGCAGAACTGGCAAAACAGAAGATGCTGTAATAAGGCTTTGAACTAGAAAATATTCAGAGCAATGTATTAGAGTGAATGTGTCATGGTATAAAACATAACAAGCTGCTGCTTCTCATTGCTTAAGTATGTCTGAGTGAAATGAGAGCTCATTTAAAAACTTGTAAAAAATATATATAAAAATATGGGCCTGTACAGGAGCTTGGAGATGCTGAACAAGGTAGACCTCGGCACTGATGACTTTATAAAAACACTTTTGTGTTTGTTATCCCAACATAGTAAAGTCAAACTGGCAGAAGAATTGTCTGGTTCAGGCTTTTTTTTGGTTTTTCTGGGAGGGAGGGGTAATTGGAACTTGTTTCCGTTTCATAGAACTCAACACGATTCCTTCCCTAATATTTTAAAATAATAACACTCAAACAGTACTTAAAATGAACACTGCTTTGTGCGTGTGTCTGACTACACTACTACTAGTATTTTACATGCAGTTAGTATGATTTGGATAGAATTTAGCTCCATGTGATACGTTTTGTAGAAAAAAAAATGTATTTTGACAAGCCAGCAGTTTTTGCTATTTTTCTTGGGGCAGAATTATGTTTACTTTCTAATAAAACTCCTTGGAAAATATTAGTTATTTCCAGACTGAATAAGACAAATAATAGACTAGCTGTAACTGTCTCTTTTCTAATAATTTGTTTTTCAGAAATCGTTTTGAATTGAGAACACTGACAGCTTTTCTTATTTATATACTTACAGTATACAGAGAGAATTCTTTGTCCCTTTTATTCTCTTTCAGGGCAGGACCTGTTAGAACAACTGATGAGACATGTAGCAATTATAGAATGACTGAGGACTTGAAGTTCAATGACCTTCAGTTTTGTCCAGTAATGATAAGGAACAATTTTGATATCATTATTTAAATGCCTGTTTATTTATGCAATTTGAAGTCCCTATACCCTATGCTATTTGAATTTCTAAATGACACATTATTCAGGTTGCTTGATCAGGAGACATATCTCCTTAATAGTTATTGTTCTCCTGATGCTCAGAAAAACTTGAACATTTATCCACACACATTTGAAAAGTGCACTAACCTGAAAACAATGTCTCCACCATGCAACAGCCCATACCCTGTACTGAAAACTAGGAATTCTCTATGAGAGGGTTTCAATGAGAGCTCCTGAGAATTGCTATTTTGGTCATGGATCTCCAAGCATATCATAACGATTAAATGCTTTTATCAAATGTTCATAGTTGTAGTGTCCAGTATTTTCATCTGTTCTTCTCAAAGGTCATGGTTTTGTTAAGACGCTTTTCTGGATCGGTATTCTGACATGCCAGCACAGTTCCATACAGTGTTCACAGTGTCCATTAGCAAAGCTGACCTTTCACCAGCATGGCATACATCACAACCAGCCACACGGGCATACACCCATGCCACATTTTATCTATGTCAAAAGGAGATCCTAATGATACCTGTCCAGAGAAATTTAAATACGTCTATTATTGCTTGTAGTACTAAAAATGTATCAATTATATATTCATCCACTAACAACATATGACCTCTTCTTCCCAGATATTTCTGTCCTTATTGCCAGTGTGAAGTAGATGAGGATGAGCTAATCGACCACTGTCTCAATTACCACAGATGGGAAGGGAAAGCAGTGGTAATGTACATAAGTATATATTTTAGTGAATTCACATGCTAAACTGATTAATTCTAGCAAGCATTACTCCTAGGAGATAATAGACAAAGTATATTAATTGTTTAATTGGTTTTGACAGTGGAGGAGAAACTTACCTATATTAATTCCCTCTCCCCATCTCTCATGAACAAGTGTGTATGCACGTAATATTTAAAATACTAGCACTTCTATCACTGTGAGTGCTGGTAGGAGCACTGAAAATGGTGTAGAAGTGTGATGATGGATACAACAAAGCTACATTCAGCCAAGACAGCAAGCATTATTAGGTTTAGTGGCTTGCCTGCTTTTAAATCCCGAATGTGCTATTTCTATTGCCATAACTCATATTTATGTGGAGCATTTGCTGTGTATTCTCACCTGGGTTTTGAGGTTATAATTTAAGAACTGCTTATGTGACCTTATATAGCAGTCTGTCATAGTGGGGTTTTTAATTTCTTTGGTTTGGTCTATTTTTTGTTGTTATGTTTTTGGTTTTCTTTCTTTTTAAGATCACTTAACATTAAACAGCTTCATTCTGAAGGTACACGGAGGCTGTGAGGTCTTACTGTGACACTGTTAGCAGGACTGAGGTCTACAGAGTGTAGACTCACATCTTGACAAATGAAATTTACTTCCCTGATCATTATCACCAAGTCTAGCATCTCACAGAAGAGGTGTTTTAGAGGGGCTGAAGGACTTGTAGACATACCAACTAGTGCCCCCATTTCCTGCAGTGCGTGGGATGGAGGAAACCTGCTCTCTTCCCTTTTATATTGCAGGTTAGTTTTCACCGCTAACTTGGAACCAGAGCTCCAAGTAAATCAAAGGAAGTATTCACTCAGTATATATTAATGCTTTAATGTATAACATTTTGCCAAATTTTGCATTTTTCAGATTAGGCTCTCTATTTACTTTGGTCAGCTGAAGTAATTGTCAATAACTTGTATGACAACTATCAGTCTATAAGGTCTTAATTTTTCATTCAGGGTGAATGCATAAATAGCTGTATTGTCTAGCTGTAGGGCAGAATTAAGCCTTAAAATTTAAAAAATTACTATCTACATAATTCAGTTATATATACAAGCTGATCCTGAGAGACTAGTGAGTAATATGCATTATACAGCCTGTTGCACATTTCTTTAAAAATGTAAAAAACAATATTCAGAATTATTTGCCTATAAATAATGTAGAAATTATGACCAGGGAAATGAAACTGTGATATTTTAAGTAACACTGATTTCATAACTTCTTTATTTGGTTTATGAACTGTAGACACTATGTGGTTAATACAAAGCAAAGAGAGGGAACAAGCTGATAGGTGCACTTCCTTGTTTGCTGCTGATACACTGACTCTTCCATGTAGTTCTGAAATACCACTGAAATAACTGCTTCAGGATTTCAGGAGTACCTGAAAAAGTGACTTGGCACAGCTGTTTCAACCTTTTTGTTTCAAACTTAGAATAAACACATTAGGCTTCTAGCTCTAAGGAAGGCATCAGATTTTTTGGCACATTGTATCGTAATGTTCATTACCATAGTATGTCATAAAGGTTCTTTTAGTCTACACATAATTTATTCTCACATGCTGTATCCCATTATAATAATGTTGTTGGCATAGACAGTGTTCTCGTAATGCTTGAAGAAATAAATGTTGCAGCAACTGCAACTTTGTATTACAGAGAATTCACAGGAAGTAATTCAGCTTATCTTTCGATGAATGGTTTTAGGCAATTCTGTTGTAGGGACACAGGTGAATTGTTATTTCGACCAGAGAAATCCTGTATGCTTCTTGTAGCACTTCATCATTCAAACAGTGACTTGGATGATAAACAAATGGATTATTTGTTTAGTTTCTTTTCTGAAGGATAAACAAATGGATACATGAATCGCTTGGATGAGAAATAAATTTTGTATCAGATAAAACAAATGCTGTTGCATGACCCTTCTGTTGTCACCAGTAGAAGAGAATATATGAACCATCAGATCTATACAGGTTGACAGTCCTTGGGATGTCTGCAGACATGAATTACACAGCAGGGATTAGCATAATTGATAAGTGATTTGAAAGTGTGCTGTGCCTAGCACTATTCATCTTGCTCAAAGAATGCCATTTGGCCATAACTGATCCACTTATTTCACATTTCTGGTTCTTTTAAAAACACTGATAGTATTTCTCCTGTAAGACCTCCAAGATAAAAACTTAATACTTCCTTCCACTTATTTATAGTGCTGTCCAATTTGTTGTTTAACACCTAGGAGAGATCCAAGCTATTTCAGCAGAAATTTTATAAGGCATCTTTGGCTCACACATACACTCCATTTTGAAAATTACATAGTAATAGTATTTGCAAACTACTGGGCTTGATTTCATAGAATCATAGAATCATAGAATAGTTAAGGTTGGAAAGGACCTTAAGATCATCAAGTTCCAACCCCCCTGCCATGGGCAGGGACACCTCACACTAAACCATGCCACCCAAGATTCTGTCCAACCTGGCCTTGAACACTGCTAGGGATGGAGCATTCAAAACCTCCCTGGGCAACCCATTCCAGTGCCTCACCATCCTCACAGTAAAGAACTTTCTCCTTATATCCAGTCTAAACCTCCCGTTTAAGTTTTAACCTCTTACCCCTTGTCCTATCACTACAGTCCCTAATGAAGAGTTCCTCCCCAGCATCCTTATAGCCCCCCTTCAGATACTGGAAGGCTGCTATGAGGTCTCCACGCACCCTTCTCTTCTCCAGGCTGAACAGCCCCAACTTCCTCAGCCTGTCTTCATACGGGAGGTGCTCCAGTCCCCTGATCATCCTTGTGGCCCTTCTCTGGACTTGTTCCAACAGTTCCCTGTCCTTTCTATGTTGAGGACATCAGAACTGCACACAGTACTCCAGGTGAGGTCTCATGAGAACAGAGTAGAGGGACAGGATCACCTCCTTTGACCTGCTGGTCACGCTCTTTTTGATGAGGCCCAGGAGAGGCAGAGCAGTAGATGTGGTTTTTCTTGATTTCAGTAAGGCATTTGATACTGTCTCCCACAGCATCCTCATAGATAAGCTAGGGAAGTGTGGGCTTGATGATCAGGTAGTGAGGTGGATCAAGAACTGGTTGAAAGGAAGAAGGCAGAGAGTTGTGGTTAATGGGGCAGAATCTAGCTGGAGGTCTGTGACTAGTGGAGTCCCTCAGGGGTTGGTGCTGGGACCAGTGCTGTTTAATATTTTCATCAACGACCTGGATGAGGGAACTGAGTGTACCCTCAGCAAGTTCACTGATGATACTAAACTGGGAGGAGTGGCTGACACACCAGAAGGCTGTGTTGCCGTTCAGCGAGACCTGGACACAGTGGAGAGTTGGGCGGAGAGGAACTTGATGAAATTCAACAAGGGCAAGTGTAGAGTCTTGCATCTGGGGAAGAACAACCCCATGTACCAGTACAGGTTGGGGGTTGACCTGCTGGATAGTAGTGAAGGGGAAAGGGAGCTGGGGGTCCTGGTGGATAGGAGGATGACCATGAGCCAGAAATGTGCCCTTGTGGCCAAGAAGGCCAGTGGCATCCTGGGGTGCATTAGAAAGGGCGTGGTTAGTAGGTCAAGAGAGGTTCTCCTCCCCCTCTACTCTGCCCTGGTGAGACCGCATCTGGAATATTGTGTCCAGTTGTGGGCCCCTCAGTTCAGGAAGGACAGCGAATTGCTTGAAAGAGTCCAGTGCAGAACCACAAAGATGATTGAGGGAGTGGAACATCTCCCTTATGAGGAGAGGCTGAGGGAGCTGGGTCTCTTTAGCTTGGAGGAGAGGAGACTGAGGGGTGACCTCATCAATGTTTACAAATATGCAAAGGGTGAGTGTCAGGATGATGGAGCTAGTTTTTTTTCAGTGATGTCCAGTGATAGGACAAGGGGCAGTGGGTGTAAACTGGAGCATAGGAGGTTCCAGGTGAACATCAGGAAAAATTTCTTTACTGTGAGAGTGACAGATCACTGGAACAGGTTGCCCAGGGGGGTTGTGGAGTCTCCTACATTGGAGATATTCAAGGCCCATCTGGACAAGTTCGTGTGTGATGTACTCTAGGCTACCCTGCTCTTGCAGGGGGGTTGGACTAGATGATCTTTTGAGGTCTCTTCCAACCCTTGGGATTCTGTGATTCTGTGATACGGTTGGCTTTCTAGGCTGCGAGCACACACTGAAGCTGGCTCATGTTCATTTTCTCATCGATCAGCATCCCCAAGTCCTTCTCCGCAGGGCTGCTCTGAATCTCCAACAGTTCCATGTCCTTTTTGTGTTGAGGACACCAGAACTGCACACAATACTCCAGGTGAGGTCTCACATGAGCAGAGTAGAGGGGCAGGATCACCTCCTTCAACATGCTGGTCATGCTGCTTTTGATGCAGCCCAGGATACAGTTGGCTTTCTGGGCTGCAAGCACACACTGCAGCCAGTTCATGTGAAGTTTCTCATCAACCAACACCCCCAAGTCCTTCTCTGCAGGGCTGCTCTGAATCTCTTCTCTGCCCAACCTGTAGCTGTGCCTGGGATTGCTCCGACACAGGTGTAGGACCTTGCACTTGCCATGGTTAAACTTCATGAGGTTGGCATCAGCCCACCTCACAAATGTGTCCCTCTGGATGGCATTCCTTCCATCCAGGGTATCAACTGAACCACACAGCTTGGTGTCATCGGCAAACTTGCTGAGGGCGCACTCAATCCCACTGTCCATGTCACCAACAAAGATGTTGAACAAGACCGGTCCCAACACCGACCTATGGGGGACACCACTCGTTACTGGTCTCCAACTGGACACTGAGCCATTGACCACAACTCTTTGCATGCGGCCATCCAGCCAATTATATGTACTTTAAACAAAAGTTGTTTCAACAATCCGTTTTTTATTCTACAAGAACCTAGGATGACAAAGTTGTACTTCTGAAAGTGCTGCAGCTGTTTGCTGTCTGAGCGGGCTGTAAAATACAAAATGCAGCACAAGCATTAATGTGCTGTTAAGAGTTTCTCAAGAATATTAGTGTTTTTCTATATGTTTGCTCTAGACAAAGTCCCAAAGACAGATATAAACCATTATTTTTTCAAATGGTGCAAAGGCACTGAAGAAAATTATGTCTAAAATGTCCAAATGAAGGGCAGGGGTAAAGAGCCATCTTAAAAATTTGAGCATGTAACTCATGCACATGGCAGAAACAGACTTCTGTATGATAGAACTTTAATGATAGCTCACCATATATAGCTTCACAAAGTATAGCTAAGATTTGAGTATTTATTTCTATACATAGTAATGTAACATGCATCACCAAATTGCACTCTTTAATAAAGAGTGTTAGCATTGCTGGGTTTTGCATAGTCCCTGAATTAATCTGTTTCTGCATTTGACATTCTCAATTGTTTCAAGTTTCATAATGATTCCTCTTGCTTTACATTGCAGTGTTTACTACTAAAGAATAGAAAGTTAGGCAGTAAACTTTAAGCACGGATGCAAACCCACTGGAACTAGTATTTTGTTAACTGGTAACTCAAGCAGTCAAAATTAAGTCTATTAACACATGAATTTCTAGCTTGATAATCAATAAAATATCCTTTCTTTTTTCCTTCCAGGGCATAGAAACTGTTGGTTAAGGTCTTGTTGAAAGAGTTCTAGGTGGGTCATTCTTAGAATGTGTGCATGTGAATCATCCAAACAGCACGTAAGGACTATTGCAGAAGAGTGGAAGAACATGTTCTGTAGATAAATATGGTTATTAAAATTTAACCATTTGCAATTAATGGATGAATGCATGAATTAATTAATTAAGGCATGAATCTATTTTTTTTCTCAAGTGCTGCTTTGTTTTTAAATTATTTTAAATTAAATTTCAGTTTAAATTAAAATTGGGGGTGGGTATAAGATAAGGGTTGGTAAGTGAAAGCTGCCTTGAAAGAATAGCAAGAAGGGAATATTGGGTTTATAATAAAAAATAGAAAACATTTCAAGAGAGTGACAGTGTCTTTAAACTAACCTGTATAACATAGTATTCTTACTATGTAAGTTAAATAATGTATATACGGTTTTTACATGTACACTATAACATAATAACTTCCAAAGATGATCTGTTTATTCATACATAGAAGCATGTACAGTGATTAAAGTAGCTTTAATCACATGGTAACGTGTAAAAAAGGAAACTCCCAGTAGGCTTTTAGGTCTTCACTTCCACTTTCTTGGAATCAGGAAGTGGCTCCTTTTTGGGAAGGGAAAGATTCAATGTTTCATCTGTGTGGGAAAGTTGCTTTCCTTTCTTTTTGAGAACTGTCCTTGGGAATGAAAACTCCCCTGTCAGAAAGATGGGCAGTGAATGCTCCAAAGGGTGGAATTTGTAAGAATATTTCAGTAACTAAAAAAAACAGTAATCTGGTCTGCCAGCGAAAAGTAGCCTGCATGTCTAAAAAATGTACAGAGAACCTTTTATATATCTGAAATAAGCTAACCCCACAGTAGCGTTGTCCTTAGTTTTGTCTATGATCGCAAGTGTTCTTTGTCAGTAGAGATACACCTGGCAAGAGCAAAAGATGTCCTTCCCCTTGCACATGGCACCTTCTGATCCCCCTGCAGTAACACAGCTCTTTCCCTTTCCCCTTCTGCTCACATCATCCTTGATGGCTCCTGCAGAACAAATCCCAGCTCTTTTCATATTGGCAAGGAGATGTGCTTTTCTTGCAGCATTGTCAAGAAAGCAGTCAAAATAATAGTTGTACAAAAATAAGTTATAGAAAGTTACACAATAGCTGTGCAAAGGTGATCACTTTGCAGTTGTCCTCTGCAAGAAGCAAAATTTTATGAGCAGTTCTACAGTTTTTCACTCTTGAGATTTCATTTCACAAACACATTTTATCACGAGGAATAAAAAGTTGGCAGGGCCATTGCTTTAATTTAATCTAAAAAGTCTGATTTAAAATGCTTTCCTTCAAATAAATGTGTTCATAAACTTCAGCTGCCTGATTTCTCTTTACATGTTGTCTCTGTCAATGGTAAAAACTACATAAGATTTACAAGGCTTGTGCCAGGCTGTATATTGCTGGGTGGCATACTAGTTGTCAACTCCAAGGTCACAGCTTTATTAAAGGATCAAGATTTACAATAACGTTAGCAAAAGCATGAATGTCTTCCCACACACCTTTCTGTAGCTTACTTCTCTGAGGTCATCTGTGCAATTTCTCCCCCTGTCAAAAGCTACTAATCGATAAAACACTGCCGTCTCCCGAACAAAGTTCAAATAGACCTGTCATGTTGCTTTAGCAATAAATCTTTGCTTTTGTTTAACACCTGCCTTCAAAGGGCATAACCCTCTTTACCTGCAGTAATTAATTTCACAGCAACCTTATTTGGCGATTAAAAACTGCTCCCCTTTAACAGATTGAGAAATTGAGACATAAGGACACATTTGGTGAAGGCCATGCTGCCTCTCTACCAGTGAGTAACACAAGGTAGTTGTGTAGCATCTGAACTGAGGTTTCTGTAATTCTTTCTTTTAATGCAATGCCACGACATGCATAGGGCACACTTGAAGCTTAAAGCTGGTTATACAGCTGTGATATAGTCCTAACAGACACAAGAACACACCAGAAGCATTTTGCAGGCTATTTCCTACTTAAAGTGTAGTTCTGTGCTTTCTTTTGCCTTGCACTTGCACTGTTGAAGAGGTTACTGGCAACTTCTGTTTATTACTCATTGTGCCTCTCCAGATATACCAGCCTGGCTCCCTGCTTCATTTCCAGGAAGAAGATAATCAGTCAATCACTTGAAATAGTAAGGGTTTTGCCAGCCTGTGAACAGCTAAGCTAACCTTAGCAGCCTTTAACAGAGCAGTGATAAGCACAGGGGAGCAGTAACCTCCTGAGCTAGGACAACCGCAGTTACAAGAGGAAGTCTTACCACAACACCTCAAATCCCAGCCCCGCCTTCTCCTGCCCAAGATGTTCTACCACTTCCACCAGATTTTCTCCAAAACCTGAAGTAAATATCTCAGCCCAGGTGATTTAATTCTTCCATTTGGCCCATTGCTTTGGATATGCTTCCCTTCAGTGTCTCAGATCTCCTGTGCTTAGAGGCATTCAAATTTTGCCTCCATGTGGTCTAAAGTGAAAGTATTTAGGACAGTCATTGGCTTTGCTGAGCTGTTTCTGCTTTTGGTTAGGAGGATACTAGCATTTTTTAGTAATGGTAATTGCAACAGGCCCCAAGTAAGAAAACTGAGCCAGGGTCCTTCATGGAATCACAGGATGGTTTGCCCCTCATCCTCACCTGAGGAGAGACCTGAAGCTGAGCTTTGGCTTTGTTTCCTGCAGTTCCCTCCCTCCCTTCCAAACCACCAGCCCAGAAAGTGGTAGGGACATTGCCTTTTGCTGTCTATCCCTGGCAGATACAAAAAGCGGCTGTGATGGACATTTGAAGCCTAAATTGTTTTGAAATGTGGGAGATTGAAGGTGTATGCGAACCACAGGTCTTAGTGTTTTGCACTCTCTCTCCCCCAAAAGTCTAACTACGCTAGAGAGAGCAGGATCTCCCCACTAGTGATCACCTCTGAACATCTAGCTGTGGTATAGATGGCTGCTGTCCTAAGGACAGAAGGGAAACAAAGGTGAAAGACCCAGTTCTTCTCAGCCTTTGTCCCATGTCTTTGATACAGGGTGAGAGCCCAGGCCTCACCTGAACCTTAATCATGGATACAATCTCCACAAATTAATATAAGTGACATAATCTCTACAAATCCATTTCCTTTTAAAGCTTCCCCAACATTTTGTTTGTTGTTAATCCTCCATGAGTTAAGTTCAAATGAGATCTAGATATGCTTAACAGGTCCAAAGTCTTCACTACCTGGAGAAATTTGCTGGTATTGCTGTATCACCACCACGATATTATTATAATCCCTCATTCTGGAAGAACAGTGCAGAGACTAAGATTTCATCAGCACCATTCAGGAGGCAGAAAGCCTGGCCCGAATATTACTATTAACCACTAAAACTACCTCATAAAAGCACCACTAGCATCAGCTGGTCTCTAAACAAACAAAAACCAGAGCACTGTTGCTTTATTTGTGTAGAAGGTGATCGTAATTTCCTCTCATGTCGAGCTAGGATCGCGGGTTGGAGCCCCACTCCCAGATATCCGGCGCCAACCCGCGCTCCTGCCGGGCACACGCTGAGGGGTGAGCCCGCCTCCCACCCCAGAGGGCCTCCCGGTGCCGGCGCCTCGGCCTCAGGCGCCTGGGGGCCCAGGATGGGCGGAGGGAGCGGTAGGCGGAGCGGGGAAGCCTCCCGGGCAGGGCGGAGCGGAGGCCGGCCCGCCGCGTCGTAGCAGCGCCGGCGGGCCGGGAGGCAATCGCCATGGAAACGCAGGCCCCGGTCCCGCCCCTGTCTCTGCCTCCCCGCGGGAGAGCGGCGGTGAGTGCCGCCGGGAGCCCGGCCGGAGCCGTGGCTGGGGCGCTGTGGGCGGTACCTGCCGCTGGGGTTCCCTCCCCGAGCACTGCCAGGTAGAGCGCGGCTGGGGGCGCTTCCCGGGCCGGGAGGGGGGAGGAGGAGGAGGAGGAGGAGGAGGAGGGAAGGGCGGGGCGTGCAGCGCGCAGGCCGAGCCCGCGGCCCCCAGCCGCCGCAGCCCGGCCGCCCACCTGGTGCCAGGTGCCCACCCGCCATCTTCTCCCGGACCCCCAGCGTCCTCCGCCCGCGGCTGCCCGGCGCCGCCGAAGCGTAACGGAGCGGGGCTCAGCTCACCAGGGTGGGGCTTGCTCCTAGTCGCCGATCCGCACGGAAAGGCCCTGACGTGTTGCCATGGCCGAGGGAGCCGCAACGGCGGAGGCGTGCTTCAGTGAGGATGATTTTTACTGTCCCGTCTGCCAGGAGGTGTTCAAAACGCCCGTGAGGACCGCGAACTGCCAGCACGTGTGGGTATTCCTCCCTGGCCCCCCGTACCCCCTTCGCCTCTTTCACAAGCCTGTTCCTCCCCTCCTCCCGTTCTCTGCCTTTTAATCCTTAGCCATCCCCTCTCAGGACACCGGCCCCCGGCCTGCACCCGAAGCCAGCCGCCCAGGGGCCCGGAACGGCTACTCCAGGAGGGAGGCGGATTTGAGGCTTGCGTGCCAAGGGCTGCCCCAGCTTTCCCATGCCTCTTTCTTTTGTAGCGATGAGGGCCGGCTGGTTAGAAAAGCCACCTCCAGAAGCAAGCCCTCGGCTGGGTGGTCGATGGAAACATCTCACGCATCTAACCTAACCTAACTCGCGGTTTTAACTTTATAGTTTCCTGCTCGTTTTCCAGCAAGGACCATAGCGTAGTTGTTCTTTCTTTTCAGTTCATCTAGTCTGCTTTTTTCAGAGCAACATTTAATTACAAAGTACTGCTTTGTAGCAAAGCAAAATAGCTTTGGCAGCTGGTGCGCCAGGAAACAAAGTGAGAGAACCACAGAAGGCTGGTGAGCTGAGATCTTTCATGCTAAATGCAGCATGTTTGGCTCCACTTAAGGATGATAAACAGGGCTTACTTTGATAAGGCTTTCCAATATCATGTGCCTGCTGCACCATTTAATATCTCATTAATGATCAATCCAGTATACAGCTCAGGAATACTAGTCAGTAAATAGTAAGATCTTTACATAAAGTGCATTGCCAAGTTCCCCTTATTTCCGTATGCTTTTTTGTAAGCACCATTATTTCATTTTGCTTTTATTTATAAAGATTTGTATACAGTAGACCATTATTCTGACATCTTTCTTCCACCTAATAATCAGCCAGCTTTCTTCAAGGACAAAGTATCTCACTCTTCACTTTGCTAACCTGTGTTTGTGGTAACTTTTTAATTCAGGTTTTGCAGGAAGTGCTTCTTGACAGCTATCAGAGAAAGTGGAACACATTGTCCTCTCTGCCGGGGGAGCGTGACTAAAAAAGAAAGAACATATCCCAAAAGGGCTCTAGATGTTGAAAACAGTATGAAGAAAGCTTCTGGGGGCTGTAGATGCTGTGAGAAGCAGGTAGAGTAAAACTTTACAAAAAGTTGGATAATTCTTTATTATTTTTGACCAGACACACTTTTATTGTGTGTTGTTCTTGTCTTGGAGCTAAAGACCCTATATAACAGTTTGAACTTAGCTTTTTATGGATTGTGCCTGTACTAGGCATGCAGTGCCTGCTAGGTATGCCTAACAGGTGTAAACAGAAACAGGATCTTGTATTGTCTATAAGGACTTTTTAAGTGGAGTGCCAGTTTTTCTGCAAAGCAATGTGAAAACTTGATATAGCCATAAAACTGTCAAAAGAAAAGTCTGACAAGATAATTGCAGATATATGGAAAACCTCAGAAACTTTTGCTGTGGAAATAAAAGTGCCTATAACTACTGTAAAACTGAATTTAAACCAAAAATGTACAGGTTGATTACTCTTAGTGTACATAAAATCATACACCATTTTCCTTTGCCCCATCAATCTGTTTGCATCCTGTCATTCTCTTTGTAAATGGGTCATTATTTTCAGAACATTGGGTGAAATCATGACCCCCACCGAAATCAAGAGTAATCTCTCTTCTGGTATAAACAGATGCAGGATTTCAGGCACACATTTTGCTTACATGAAATTGCATGACATCCAGGTAGTCTTCATGTTTGTTTCATTTCACTTGGGTCTTAGTTCTGCCAATGTGAAGATTAGTACTAGTGGAAAGCTGAGCTGCTTGCTTTGTTCCACATGATTCATTAGGATGAAAAGCTGGGAGAAAGAAATGATAGGAAGTTGCTGAGCTGGAAGGAAGAACCAAATGGATCCCTAGAAGAACTTAGTGGAATTTAGGCACAGGATATGATCTGAGATGTGATCTTATTCTGCCTCTAAACCTGTGAACACTTTCTGACAGTGCTGTTGGACCTGAAATTCTGATTTAGGGCATGTCCAGCACATCTGTCTTCTGACAAATCTGAGCAACTTGTTATCTTGCCTTGCATTTAAGGTGGATATACAGCCTTAAGTTGGTGCTCATTCACATATTGTATTTTTTTTTTTTTTTATCCCTTTTCAAAGAGAAACATTTTGTATTCTCAGAACACACCTAATGCAAAAAGCTTCTGCTCTGCACAAGGTAACAGCAGGCCAGAGAAGACTGAAGGAGCAGTGGTGCTTATCCCATCCTCATGGCCCCTCTCTGTCATAGCTCATCAATTTTTGATCCTGGATTGTGGAAATTGTAGTTCCTGTGACTTTGTTTCATTTAAATGGAGTTTATTTGCATCTTTCACCCCTGAGAGCTCTCAGATGCCTGGCTTTTGGGGGTTTGGGAAGTGGGAATGTTCTCCAGTAATTTCAATAATTTGGAATTTCATTTACAGGTTAGATTTTCGTGGATGAGACAGCATTATAAAACGTGTAAGAAGTATCAGGATGAATATGGTGTTTCTTCTATTATTCCAAACTTACAGATTTCCCAAGATTCTACAGGGAACAGGTAATCGGGGTGTTTTTATCTATGGCAATGTGTCTTCTTTCCCTGCTCCATCCCCTCCCCCCAGAGTATTTTTTTTTTTCCAGGGTATGTCTTTTTTGCAATAATTATTATCCCTGCTTTTGTGCATCAAAAAATTACAGTTTTTCCAGGTCTTTTTCTTTACTCTCAGCACACAGAAGAAAGCCTTTCTGCATGGTGGTTTGGAATGTCTTCCAGGGACTCTCCTAAAAAGTATTATTTGTAGCTCGCTTTCCTTGCCTTGGCAGCATTTGAGCAGCTTACTTTGTAACATACTTTGTAATATTTAGCCCCAGGGAAGTCCCCTTCTCTTTTTATCCCTCCTCCTCTTTCCTAAGTCTGTTTTAGTTGGTATCCTGTGTCAAAACTTTACTATGCAAGCTTTTGCTTTCTTATTGAATTTATTTTGAACTGATCTGTTATGAAATATACAAAGAATTCCAGTATGGTACATACCATAAAATACAGATGACACAATTTGTTTTCAGGCAGTAAAGCTAAAGAACTTTCTTTTTCATACATTCTCACTGATCACAGTATCACAGTATCACAGTATGCTGGAGATTGGAAGGGACCTCAAAAGATCATCTAGTCCAATCCCCCTGCCAGAGCAGGAACACCTGATGTTACACAGGAATGTGTCCAGGCGGGCTTTGAATGTCTCCAGGGAAGGAGACTCCCCAACCTCCCTGGGCAGCCTGTTCCATGTTCCGTTCACTGAGAAGAAGTTCCTTCTCAAGTTTAAGTGGAACCTCTTGTGTTCCAGTTTGTACCCATTACCCCTTGTCCTATCATTGTTTGCCACTGAGTAGAGCCTGGCTCCATCCTCGTGACACTTTTATATATTTATAGACACTTATAAGGTCAAGTCTCCTCTTCTCTAAACTATAAAGACCCAGCTCCCTCAGTCTTTCCTCATAAGGGAGATGCTCCACTCCCTTAATCATCTTGGTTGCCCTGCGCTGGACTCTCTCCAGCAGCTCCCTGTCCTTCTTGAACTGAGGGGCCCAGAACTGGACACAATATTCCAGATGGGGTCTCACCAGGGCAGAGTAGAGGGGAAGGAGGACCTCTCTCGACCTACTAACCACCGCCCTTCTAATACATCCCAGGATGCCATTGGCCTTCTTAGCCACAAGGGCACAGTGTTGGCTCATGGTCATCCTGTCGTCCACTGATGTTTTTGTTTTGATTGGGGATCTTTTCTTATTTTTGAAAACCTTTTTTTTACATAGTAGTTTCATTGGGCTTTATTCTATATAGCCTGTCCTTTATTTATTTTCTTTTGATATCTGTTTTCTATTTTTAGCAGTCTGAACTTCTCTGTGTTTGGTTTTCAACCCTTTAATATATTGAAAGTGGAAGTTTAAGCTGTTACCAGAACTAGCTTCAGCAGTGTTTCACTGAAGTGACTGGATATTATATCACTATTTATTGACTATGCCACTGTAGCATACCTGTGCTTATAATATTACAGAAGTGTAAGAAAATGTACTGTGCCCAGATTTGTGACTGGAAATGTTAATGTTCTTGGAATGATCAATGTGTCTGTGCAGTTTCTTCTGGCTTAGCTAGAGGTGCATACATGGTCAAAATTACTTTCTAAATGTTTCAGTCTGTCACTCTTACTTTAGGAAATAGTTCATTTGTGCTCAGTGTAAAAAGATTGATCTTGCCGTAGTTGAAAGTTGTAAATTATTTGTGTAATCCCATGGCAGTTAAGTGCTTGTTTGCATAGTCTTAAATCAAAAAACTTAGAAAGTGCTTCCTGTCTTGCATTCACATCATTCATAATGCTTTTTGAGCTACCTGGCTGTAATCTCCATTACCATTCTTGTTGGCTAAATGTTTGTTGTACCATATACTGTTTTGCTATAAAGCTGTGTAGTATTCCAGCAAGGGTCACCCTGGTAACTGCATACTGAGGTTTACATTGATCCAAAGGAAAAGTTGGGAGAGTTAATTGTGTGCCATTGTATGTTTTGCCTTGAAATTCATGTGACTCAATGGATTTCTTCCACTTCCCCCATGTTACTCTTAAACTTCAAAAACTCTCGATGGTAGAGTAAAATAATATGAATTTTATTTTTTTTTTTCTTCATTTAAAGTAGCAGGAGTGCTGTGGTATCTGGTAATGGCGAGATGGCTAATAATCAAATGCTTCAAGGAGAAACAAGGTAGGCTGCTTATTTTTTTATAGTTAATATTAAAATAGATACAGATAGTCCTATTGCAAGCTTCTACTAATGTAAAAAATCCCACAAGCACATGCTACTAGTTGTATTTAAAAATTTGTGTAGTTTCCCCTCCTTTTGCATCTATACATTAGAATTTGGTGTTTTTTTAGTACTTTCCTGGATGATTTGCACTAAAAGATGTTACCAGTAAGTAAGATCAGGATGCAGCTGAAATCGTTGCAAAAGAGTTTTCTGAAATCCAAGTTTCAGAAGAGTGCATTTAGATGTACAAATGATAAATGTGCTTTAAAATTACAATTTGGAAGTAGCACTGGAACTCCATTAGATCTGCTGCTATGTCAATGAGGGTGGGCTTTTTTTTTAAGTTTTTTTCAAAATAAGGGAAAATGACAAGGTAACAGAGAATTTACACTTTCTGTAACACTGCTTCTAAAACTTTCTGTTCTGTTTAATACTGTGTATTTCTGTTTACAGTGGACACCCAACCTTCAAATGCCCCTTGTGTCAGGAAGCCAATTTTACCAGACAGCGCTTGCTGGATCACTGTAATAATAGACATCTTTATCAGATAGTTCCTGTAGTAAGTATTGTTGTTTATGTATGATTCTTAAGCTACTTTCATTGTAATTATGTGCATAATTTTAAATGTGTAGCAACTACTCTATATCTGTAAAGATCACTGTGGTCTGAGAAAGGCAATATACTTAATGCAGTGCATTTAACTTGATGGGTGACTTTCATGTGAAAATGTTTCTTGTCCAGATTCTTGTTGGTTTAAGGCATTTCTGACTTAGCTGTCTCATTTATCTAGATGTGAAACAAACTCAGTTTTTGAGCCTGACACTCTTCTTCATTTAGTAGTTCAGATCTGTTTCTGTAGATTCCCATTCATAACATAACTTGTTTTATGTGAAACCTGCGCTTATGTGAAAAGTAATCTAAAATAATCAATCAAGGGAACTGAAGAGGAAAAATCTGTTTGGTTTTCTGTTCTTTTAATCTGTATAGGGTGTGTTATTTTTTCTTTTGACTTGATCATCTCAATTGTGTGAAAATTCTCTCAAACAATGAGTAGGATACAGTAATCACTTTGTGTTCTAAATTTTAACCAGCAGAAATTAACTAGAGTGCCAGACAGACATGCTAATGTTACACTCCTAAGAGAAATATGAGATTTGACAAGTTGAAATGTAATTTTTGGATGTTATGCAACTGAGGAAAAGAATACTTAAAACTGTGATTTTATGTGAAAATCTCCACAGTATTTTGGTAGTGGATGAGTAATAGACTTTTCCTGTATTCCTAGTTATTTTCCTGTATTCCTAGTTATTCCTGTAGAACATGTCTTCAATGTGTTCTGTATTACCAATAATTTTTTTTATTTTTTTTCATTCTTTCTCTTTCCCATTCCCCTCCAAATTCAGATCTGTCCTATTTGTGTATCTCTTCCTTGGGCAGATAGTAACCAGGTGACTAGAAATCTCGTTAGCCATCTAAATCTAAGACACCGGTTTGACTACGGAGAATTTGTGGTAAGTTTTGTCTTCTTTGATGTGTAGGGGAATAAATGGTAACTTTTTTCTATAAACAAAATGCCAATAAAAAATTTGTACCAAACTTGTTTGTGCTCTGGACATGCTATGTTCCTGCTTTGTACAGAACTCGGAAGTAGCCCTGTCTGCTCTTAAACATTCTGTTATCAACATGAACTGCCACTGAGAATAGATGTCTGTCAGTAGCTGAAGTCTGCTCCAAACTGATGACTGAAGTTAAGGATACCTTAATGTTCTCAATCTGAATTATTTGTTCCTCCAGAACAGTTAATTACGGTTGCTTCTGGGGAAAATAAAACAGATACTACTCTGTTTTATTGACATTTTTGACTTTTTATGGCAGAAATGGTTAAATCATAATGCTCAGGACTCAAAGTGCAGCTTGACTAGCTGATACTGCTGCTACAGCCTCTCTTCCAATATGTTGTGACAGGGGCTGCAGCGTGAAAAAGAGAGATGTCATTATTGTTCAGGTTGCCTTCTTTCAGGCTCACTGATTAAATGAGCTTGAACTAGGTGCAGAACTACATACACAGGTGTAGTCAGTGAATGGATCATAAGTCAAGCGAACCAGTTGAGTACTGTGTGTAGGATCAGAGAGCTGGAGAATTTGTGTTGTATTTTCTACAATTTGGCAGGCTTTGGGGTACACTCCTTGAGCTTTGTATGGGACAAGCATAGTACTTGAGGAGCAGGCAGCCTCACTGGCTAGAGGTGGGCAAAATGATGCATATTGCTCTTTGTATAAAGTGATCTGTGACAAAGGCATGAAGAGCTAGGAGATTGGTGCAGCGGATTGGGCTCTTCAACATGAGAGCATCTTCCATGTTTGAGGATGTAAAACTGGTGGCGGCAATTCTGATGTGGGGCAGCTGCCAGAACGGCATTAAAATATGTATTACTCTGGCTTATTAACAACTTGGAAGACAGCTTTTCAAAAGTAGCAGGGTTAACCACCCATCTTTTATGATGCATGTTTGCTTTCTCATTGTAAGCAGTATATTCTCAATGATCAATGATTACTGTTGTCTAGGGATCACATTTTGTTTTTATTAATGGAGGATGTTATGGCTGGTTGGAAGCCCTGTTACAAGAATAGTGTGACAGAGTCAGTCAGCTTTTCTGAGCTGGCTGTTCTGTAATGTAATTCAGCCAGGGAGAGAAGATGGACCCTTCTGCTTAATGAGCCTTGTCCCACTCATCTGATTCTTCTCTTGTCTCATGTATCTCTTGGTTAAATAAAAGATACTGTGCAACATAAACAATCATCTAGTACATGTAAAGATGAAGAGCCTTCATCTAAGTGCCAATTCCTATGTAAAAATGTGGGAAATGAATGATTAAGGACTATGGTACTTCTTGAGTATTTGTCCATTTTGATGATGTTTTCATTTTGTTTAGAATCTTCAGCTTGATGAAGAAGCCCAATACCAAAATGCAGTTCAAGAATCCTGTCATGTGAACTTTTAAAGTATAGCTCCCTTTCATCTCACTGATTATCTGAGAGAAAAATCACATTATTTCTATTGGTGACCTGAAGTGTATATTAATAAAAACGGTATTCAGTAACCACTTTTCAGGCTTAACTTTTTCCCAATGTTCATAAGGACTTTTCATAAATGATTTAGCTGGAACTCAGATTTGATACCTGTACTGAGTTGTGCCCTTGTGGAGTTTTGGGGACCTTTTTAGAACTTCACATGGTTGTCTTTTTCTCTAATGTTTACTACTCTGTTAATTACACAGTTCCTTTTATTAATGTAAGATATTTTAATTCACCAAAACCAACTTTGAAAGTATCTTTAGAAAGATACGCCAAGATGCTCTGTTGCACTGTTGAGTTTAAGTTCAGGACTCATCTGCTAAGATATCTATGAGATGATAATTTTTTTTTCTGTTCTTGCCCAATGACAAAGTTTTTTTGGATATTGTGATTTGTTTTTTTACCATCACTATGTGAATGAAAATAATAAGAAACAATTTTTTTGTTTGTTTTCTATGGATCAACAATGCAGAGCAGCGTTGGTTTTGGTTTTGTTTGTTTTTTTTTTTTTTTGTTTCCACCTTTCATTGAGAAAGAATAATGCTATTGCCTAGGAGTAATCACATCTATTTTTAACTCTTTCTGGAGCATAACTGAAATAGAATGCTTGCTTACTAAATTGGTGGGTGAGGAGTTTTCCCTATGCTTCCAACTACTAAGGAAGATGATATACTTTCTAAGCAATTTAAGGTGACATGCAAAAGGTATGCATTTTCATATATGACTGTGACCAGCTAGTTTTTCATTTTGCTGGAGCTTTTCAAGAACTTCCGTTGTTGCATTTGAAATTCAAGTTTTGGTCAGTTCGGTCTTTCATGGCAGGCTGTGTAACTCGAACTAATTGTCATCAGACCTACCAACACTGAAATTAACTTGTTTGTTTTGATAGGCTGTTTAAAATTTGGGTGTCTCCTACAAACCAAAGGCTTGAAAAAAAGAGTTGAGAAGAAAACTTGCTCTAAAGTAGTTACCAGCATTTCTAAGAGTTCCTATTCTAGATTTTCACATTCCCAGCAAAACCATCATTACATTCAGAGAAAACAGAGCAATAATGCAATTTTTAATTTAAATGGAAAATGTATTTGTAAAAGAACTTTAGAGGTTTTTTTATTTAATACTAATGGGGACAAGGAGAAAGAAAGGTGCACAGCTTGTATTTTTGAGGTTTAAAGACACTGTTCTGAATGTTTACCATTCAGGACCAACATTTCATCCTATGTCACCATTGCCCATTGTCAAAGTATTTTTCTTAGTGGGTATTGTATATATGATGGAAAACATCCCCAGTGATTTTCCTGTTTTAGTTGGTGATTTATGTATAATACTATAAGTTGTGCAGCTGAAGTAAAATCTGCTTCTTGTGCCCTGGCTCCCATTTGCTCTCCAAATAGATTTTGGTTACTCTTTAAATACTGGGAGATTTCATATTCCAAAGGTTGAAATGCCTCATTTGGCAATGTAACGGGTTTCAGAACTGATTCTTAGTTCTAGTATGTTGAGTGTTGGAACTAAACCATTATACACTGTAACTTGACATTTCTCTTGCATTTCTTAAGAGTGTAAAACATTACTGGAGCCATAGCTAGCTAAAACACAGAGGAAGCTGGCTATTTCAGAAACATCTGAAGGTTATATTCTTTTAATAACAACTTAACTTGTCTTACATTCTGTTACTGGCTTAATACAGTATTTTCACAGCAGCCCATGCTTTAATCTTGTACTCCAGCTTGCCTGTTTGCCCTTGTCATGGTTTAACCCCATGCTCTTGTCTGCACATTCTCACTCGTCTGTCAGCTCTAGTGCTTGTGTGACCACGTACTGATTTGGAGTGGTTCACTGATCCAGCTGAAAAAGTTGTTTAGATTTTGACTTTCTCTTTTTGTTCTATAAAGCCAACTATGAAATAGTGCCCTTAGACAGAAAGGAGTTTCAAGGTAGCCTGATGCTAAAGTTTTCGCTTTTTAAAGTAAAAATGCATACCGTGGTGATTTTATTACTGCATATATTTCCTAAGGAATTTAATAGTTATATGTAAGTTTAGTTAAATTTTTTAGATTCAATAAAATATATGATCTGGCAATAAATGCCTACAGCCAATACAGATTCAGAATGCCTCATGGACACTGGAACTAGTTATTTCTATTACTTGAACATATCTTGAGAATTGCAAATGGAATTACATCTCTTCTAAAACTCTGGGAAACAAATTTTTCTTATAGCAATAATTAGTTGTCACTTGATGCGTAGCTGCTGAACATTTTAGTCACGTTTAAATGTTGAAAGACTTGAATACACATTTTAAAGCAACAAATGTGTATTAATGCAATATAAAAAAAGAACTTGCAAAATATTTATCCTCTTTATTTGCGTTATGTTAAAATCTGTATTGGCAGGCACTGCCTTGCTTAAGATTTTATACTTTCAATATGAAGAGATTGCATCCAATACGTTCGCTAGGTAAGTGTTTAATGAAAATATCTATTTAAATAATGCTGCTGCTGGTCATAATCTTTCTCACTGAAACTCAGACATGCACAAAAAGCTGCGTATCTGTGATGGGTGATGCTTGTACTCAAAACTTGCGATCTTTACTGGAAGGTTGCTGTTTAACAATGTTTTTATGTTCATGTTGCATTGTGTATGGTTTCAATATGGAATATTATGTTTGAATTGTACCTTCTATTTTTTCTCTTATTAAAGTATTTTATTTTCCTTTTTTTTTTCTTTTTTTGTTTTTTTTTTTTTTTGTTGCATAATAAAGCTGATCAGTCCTCTTGATGCTGCTACTTCCTTTTCAGATGCTTTCTAAACCTAAGTACGTGGTCAGTTTTATGCCTTCACACTTTGATGACTGGAGTGGCATGTATGCTGCTGAAATCAATGAGTTGTGGCTCATGATCCATTACTGAGCTGACAGGTTACCTTGTGTCACATCTTAAGATCTTTCCATGAAGCAGAAAAGATGATTGGTTGACGCAAACTTACTTTGTGCTTGTTTTCTCCCTTCCATGTTCGTGTGTTGCTGTCACATGTAATGTGAATAGAGAACATCTAAAAAGGGAGAGAAAGAAGTATGTAACACTTGGGGCCAATAGCAAGCCTTGTTATTTAAAGTTGGATCTACGGAGGAAATGGTTTTCTGAGGAAAGAATTGTCCAATTTGCATTGGACCATATTTTTGGGCTGAAAAAATCTGGTTATTTCTTGTGCTTTTACATCCTAAGGTCATACAGATGACAATATGGATATGGAATTGATTCTCTTATTTTGAATGATAGAAATATAAAAAAAGCAAATTTACATTTTATTAGTTTATTGTTCTTTCCCCTTAGAACCTGGTTTTCTGAGCATTAAATAAATCACTGTCTCCTAAATCTGGTCATTAAGCCCTTTGTTAGAAATTCCATTTGATTTTCTTTTACTATAGCAATGCCTTCTCTTGGAGATAAGGCACTAAGTGTCTGTAATTCTCATTGGCAGTATGTTAGGCTATGTGAGCTCTAGAGAACTCCCCTTTGTCCTGCTCTAGTCCTAAGCCATGGTTTCATACCCAGGGAGAGGGGGGGACTTTGTACACCCAGGCCATCTTCTCACAGGTAGTCAGGGCTAGAAGGCTGTATTTGGGAAGCATTCCTGGGTCCCTCTTTTTAGATGTGTCTTGAGTCCAGTGAGATTTGAATGCATGGATGCCTGTGAGGTTGCTGCTGTAAAAGAGTGGGGATGGTGTGTATGAGCTAATGTATTTTTTTATACTCCTTGTTTTGTGCTAAAACAGACACACTAATTCATGAATGCTCTTAAGATGTTCACTTAACTATGTCTTGTAAACACTGTGCCATTTGTGTAATGACTGCAGAACCTGGCAGCCAGGTTATTGCTGGCAAGCAGAGCTACAAGAGTATCTGACAAAAGCATCTTCAGGGTTTTTTTAGAATTACAGAAACCAGCATCGAAGGGCCACAAACAGTACATGGTTTGTTCTCTGTACAGTGTCCATGTAAATTTGCTCTAGGTATCAGGTTTCTTTTGTGTCCAGTTGTGGGTATTTTTGAAAACACATAGGAGACAAAATTCAGGGCCTCTAAGAAGGCTTTTCAATAATGTTACAATTGTCACTTCCCGGTAAATTACCAGACTCTTGATAGGGTAAAGCATAGACTGTTTCCCAACCCCCCCCCCATGAGTAAAGTAGGTCTGTACTGTGCTTACTCTCCTCAAACTGTAGGTCTGCTCTGGGAAGGGCCACTTTTCACCTCTTCATTTTCCAGCTGTTCCCAGCCTTATTCTAACTGTAACACGTTCCGTATTGTTTATACGCACCTCTGGCTGTGCCCTCTATATTTTGGGACTGATGTAGGCCTTTGGTAAATGCAGAAACTAAGAAATTTAGCATTAATAATTTCTAGAGTTCACCTGCCACGCTTACTTATATGGCTGGAGGAGTTTATATTTCTCAGAATGTGTTTGCAGTTTGAAACACTCTTACCAGTCAGATTTTGACTTTCAATGCTTTTTAAAGTATTTGCTTGGTTGTTTTCTTTCAGGGAAGGGTCTGGTTTTGGATTAGGGAGATTAGGATGATGTTTAAAATCAGAAACATCTCATGCAAACCAGTTCTTTATGGTAATAGGCACTTGTTTTTTGGAAAGCCTTGCATGAGGTTCTCTGGTTTTGCAGGTATGGGCAGAAGACAGTAGGAAGATGGTGGCTTTTTTCTCCAGTGTAACTGCTGTGGTGCTAGTGTCATAGAAGGTTTATGAGATGTATCAGCTCCGTTGTGAGACTGTTCAAACTTCAGTAGTTTCTTTTATGGATTTTTCTTCTTTCATAATTCAAACCACAAGAGGGCACTGAGTATTTTTGGGTTGTCTCTAAATAAGGATAGCATTTAAGGATACTAATTCACTAAGTAGTAGTACTCTGAGACACTTTTAGATATCAGATTTCTATGCAGATGTTTCATAAAATGAAATAAATCATTTATATGTGTTAAGGGTTAAGAGACTGACTGAGGTCATTCCAATCTGCGGAAAGAATATTTCTAACTTACTGTAAAACCTCAAACTTACAGATTTGCTTGTATCATCTGTGGGAAATAAGCCGTATTCCCCCAACACTCCACTCTGGGGACAGCTGAGTGGCCCCCAGTTCACGAGTGAAGGTGAAATGTAGCAAGTGCATGCAAACCCCGTTCACTCGCAAGAACTTTCCTTCCCCAAACGCGTTCTTTACAGAGGTCGTCTTTAACCTGAAGCGTTGCAAGTGCGCACAGGAGTCACAGGGGGGCACCTGAGGACTGCTGCAGTCTGATAGTGAGCGATGGGGTCATTGCTGGGGTTTTGACTTCTCGTTTTCTGAAACTGTGACATATCAACGACCTCGCAGATTCCATCTGCTGAGGTGATGGGGTCCAGCAGGTGCCAAGTACAACCACACTTCGTTACCCCTTCATATTACTTAGGTCTTCTAAGTTGTTCTCTGGCAGTACATGCAGTAGTTTGGGGTTGATAGAGGCCTCTGGAATGAAAACAGAAATTCTCCCAGCTTAGGCTCATGCTTCATTGTCTAGGAGAGAACTAAGTACCCCTGGGGTATGCTTCTATAGGGGCACAATACCCAGCGGCCAGCTACAGTTACTTTAGCAGCTGCAAATCAGTTTGTTTCACACTGTAATCTGATTCATATTTACCATGAAATAAGTTTGTGTAAAAACATGTCAAACATGATTCAGACTCCTGTGAAAGGGGAGAGGTGAAATCCTCTATGAGTAATTACTTAATATATGAAAGATGGTTTTCTCACACAAACTATAAGATAATGGTTCAAGTACATGTCTGAAGTGGCAGTGGGGAGGAAGGGATGCAATGTTATACACCCAAGCTTCTGTGGTTTGCTTTTTAACCTTGCTTTTTAATTTACCTGCAGTTAAGCGGTGCAAGGAAACTGAAGGTTTGCTTCATTTTCGGGACAACTCTTAATCAAAGCATTTGCTCCTCTGCAAGAAGATAGAATAGTTGTATTTGATATTTTCTGCAATTTTTTACATTCTTGCATTATATCCCGTATGACACCCAGTAGGCTTGTAAACATTGGAGTTTCATTCCTTGAAATACTTAGGTGTTCAACTTGAAACATTTTGGTTTTGATTTGGGATCTTTTATCTTGCACGTTTATTTGACAACCCTTATCTTCATTGGTGCTTTTGCCTCATCAGCCAAGGAGTTACTGTTGCAGTGTTATCCCCATTTGGGGAATTTAACTGCAGAAAAAGTGAAAACTAATTTGTGCAAGATAATGCAGGAAGCTTGAAGCAGGGCAAGCAACAGTCCACTGTCTGAGAATAATAGACCATTTGAATATCCTCCTACTCTTTAACATTTGGTCTCTAAGTACTGCTAAGTGGGGTATGTAATGCTCCACAAGCCAGCACTTTTCAAGATAATTTAATGAATTCATACCACTTGAAATTGACACTGAAACTTATGATCAGTCAGGTTCCACCCAAATGTCAACAAACATCCATGAATCACCATTGTTTGCTGAGGAGTACACTGATAGCAAAATTATCAAAGCATCTGTGCTGAAATAGAGAAGATCAATGACACTATTCAAATATTCAAATACCTACTCAAAATGCTAGAAAATCACTGGCTGTATTGAGCTATTTTTAACTGTTTTTATGTCTCTCTGTAGTTAGCTGGTATTGTACTCTGAAATTAAGTTCCTTTGGCTTTTAAAAAGAGCATTTTTGCCATCGTGTACTTTACTGATTTTTTACAATCTCTCTGCCCCTATTACTGTCTCTTCTCAGTAGCAATCTTCCCTTCCCAGCAATCTTCTGCAGACATAGCTTTACAAAGAAGACTAAAGCAAGCGTTTTTTCCCTCTGCATTGGACAAAGCCTGATGGATGTGCCTTCTGCAGGGGGATAAGCACCACAGTATTATTATTATTATCTGTGCTGAAGTAGTGACCACCAGCAACATTGCTGCTAGGCAGAGGTAAAGAGACAATGCCTGTCCAAAGGAACATGCAGTCTGCTCTGTGGTGCTCCCCATGTGGCTGGTAGTAGCAAAGTGAACTCAGCAGGAGATGCAGGTGGTCATTGGATCTGTGGCAAGCTCCACATCAAGTTCTGATGTCTTTTCATAGCTTCTGCTAGCAGCGTGGGAGCATGTGGGTATATGGGGAAAGAAATGTAATTGACTGGCAAAAGCTCAGATTTTGCAGGTGTCTCTTACTCAGGGCTCATTAGATAGCCTAGCACCCATAAAAGTTGTGAAATATGTTCAAGACAGAAAATTGTGAGAAAGGAAAAAACAACCGGTTAAAGATTGCTCTCCTTCTGCTTTGTATTTAATGTTTTAACTTTTCCTCAAACACAGAGCTTTTAGTTAGGACACTGGTGGACTCTATCAGCAGATCAAAATGGAAAAGACATCCTTGACTTCACAGTTCCCTAACCATGTCAAGGAAGGACATGCAATACTTTGGCTGCTATGTGTCCTGGTAACTGTAGAATAAAGAAATAATCCAAGACTGCTATACTTCTTGTAAATCTGAAAATGTCCACCATCTATAGGTTGTTCTATCCTTTATTAATTAATCTCCAGGAATGGTCAATTATTTCTTACTGTAGGTCTTGGTCTTAGAAGTATGATATGGCTGTAGTGCTTTCTATCCTCAAAGAAAAATGCAAGCAGTTGCACAGCAAACCCCTGAAGGAAAATAAGAGGTAGGTATATTGCCTGAACATAGACAGTCAGTGATAAAGCAAGATGTTTGCCATTGTAGAGAATGTTCTGACAAAAGTAGGCAAAGTCTGTAGAAAAGATCTCTGCTTGGATAGAAAAAACTTCTTTAAGACTGCCCATCCATCTATTACTTTCTCCTCAGCATGTATTAAAAAAGCATTTAGCTACTTCATGAGTGACACCAAAATTTATGACAAGAACTTCTGTCTTAAAAAGTCCTGATATCCTGTTGTTCATATATTATTTTTCTGTTGCATCTTGTTTAATTATACTAGATGACTGGTTGAAGTATCAAAACTCTGAGTTTTATTCATTTAAAAGCAATGTGAATTGGAGGAAAAACATGTAAAGGGACTGTACAATGCATAAAGCTTAATTTTGTAGAAAAAAAATAGCATTATAAGAACAGCAATATGTCCTTCATATTTGAAAAATCATGGCAGTCAGGTGAAGTTTCCAATGACTGGAAAAAGGGAAATATAACCCCCATTTTCAAGAAGGGGAAAATGGATGACCCAGGGAATTACAGAGCAGTCAGTCTCACCTCTGTGCCTGGCAAAATCTTGGAGCAGATTCTCCTGGAAGGCATGCTAAGGCACATGAAAAACAACAAGGTGCTTGGTGACGGCCAGCATGGCTTCACTAAGGGGAAATCCTGCCTGACCAATCTGGTGGCCTTCTGTGATGGGGCTACAGAACTGATGGACAGGGGTAGAGCAGTTGATGTCATCTACCTGGACTTGTGCAAAGCTTTCGACACTGTCCCACACGACATCCTTGTCTCTAAATTGGAGAGACATCAATTTGATGGATGGACCCCTCGGTGGATAAAGAACTGGCTGGATGGCCGCACGCAGAGAGTTGTGGTCAATGGCTCAGTGTCCGGCTGGAGAACAGTAATGAGTGGTGTCCTTCAGGGATCGGTGTTGGGACCGGTCTTGTTTAACATCTTTGTTGCTGACATGGACAGTGGGATTGAGTGCGCCCTCAGCAAGTTTGTTGATGACACCAAGCTGTGTGTTTTGGTTGATACCCTGGAGGGCAGGAATGCCATCCAGAGGGACCTTGACACACTTGTGAGGTGGGCTGATGCCAACCTCATGAAGTTTAACCATGCCAAGTGCAAGGTCCTACACCTGGGTCGGAGCAATCCCAGGCACAGCTACAGGTTGGGCAGAGAAGAGATTCAGAGCAGCCCTGCGGAGAAGGACTTGTGGGTGTTGATTGATGAGAAAATGAACATGGGCCGGCTTCAGTGTGCGCTTGCAGCTCAGAGAGCCAACTGTATCCTGGGCTGCATCAAAAGCAGCATGACCAGCAGGTCGACGGAGGTGATCCTGCCCCTCTACTCTGCTCTCGTGAGACCTCACCTGCAGTATTGTGTGCAGTTCTGGTGTCCTCAACATAAAAAGGACATGGAACTGTTGGAACAAGTCCAGAGAAGGGCCACAAGGGTGATCAGGGGACTGGAGCACCTCCCGTATGAAGACAGGCTGAGGAAATTGGGGCTGTTCAGCCTGGAGAAGAGAAGGCTGCGTGGAGACCTCATAGCAGCCTTCCAGTATCTGAAGGGGGGCTATAGGTATACTGGGGAGGGACTCTTCACTAGGGACTGTAGTGATAGGACAAGGGGTAACAGGTTAAAACTTAAACAGGGGAGGTTTATATTGGGTATAAGGAGAAAGTTCTTTACTGTGAGGATGGTGAGGCACTGGAATGGGTTGCCCAAGGAAGTTGTGAATGCTCCATCCCTCGTGGTGTTCAAGGCCAGGTTGGACAGAGCCTTGGGTGATATGGTTTAGTGTGAGGTGTCCCTGCCCATTGCAGGGGGGTTGGAACTAGATGATCTTAAGGTCTTTTCCAACCCTAACTATTCTATGGTTCTATCTACAACTGCTGCTTCTCAATGGATCAGCAATGAAATAAGCATTCTGATCTGAGTAGCTAGAAATTACTCAGGTGTCCTCATTATCTGTTCTTTCTTGTCAGCTCTGATACTTGAAATAGTATGAGAGTGGAAGGTATTCCTGCCCATTGTAGGCGGGTTGGAACTAGATGATCTTTGAGGTCCCTTCCAACCCAAACCATTCTATGATTCTATGCCATGTTACTGTTTTTTATATAATAGTTTAGGATTCTGCATGTACAATACAAAATCTAGGTGCCATTTTCTGTGGTGGTCTAACCGGGTAGGTAGTCTGCTAAAGTAAAAGGTTAGCACAGGCTGATCATACAGTTACCACAAGTAGCTTCCATTTAAGCATGAGAAGCTGTGGCAATTTCAACACTCTCTGGAAGCGATTAAGTAGAAGAGATGACTGTAGTTGGAAGAAACTAAAACTCCAAAGAGTCACAGAGAGTGGTGATAGTACAATGGTACTGACATTTTAAACATGAATTTGTATGGAAGTTTTAAATAACCCAGAAGAATTATTTCAGTCAGTGACAAATATGGTGTTTCATATATATATCAATAATGGAAGTGGCATTGCCTTTCTAAAAGCAAGATACTGAAATTATGTTGCTGACAGATTTATTTTTTCTTAATGTGCAAGAATTTTTCATTTTAACTTTCTGTCAAAACTTACATATTTATTAATAAGTTAATGTCTTACTTGCCAAGAGTCTTGCTATATTTCTGTTGTTCAAAAGGTTATAGTGCTAGCTTTATTCACTGCATCACAGGATACTTGTAGTGAGAAAGCATCACTGGATACTGCCTTGTCCAATCCCCCTGCTTGCAGCAGGGCCACCTGCAGCAGCTCAGGGCTGTGTCTGGTTGGGTTTTAACTGTCTCCAAGGATGGAGACTCCACAACAATTTGGGCAACTTGTTCCAGTACTTAAATGCCCTTAGAATAATAAAAAAAATTTTTCTTACATTTCAGTGGCATTTTCTGTATTTCAGTGTGTCCATTTCATCCTGTATTTCAATTTGTGTCCAATACTTTTTCTCAGAGCAGTGCTTACAAATAGTTAAAATAAGGTTAGTTATTGTGATATCATAATGACAAATTTTGCTTACTGGACAAGAAAAGGAAGGTAAGTTAATCGTTGATGAAAGGACAAAGGTTTTGATTTATGGTATTTACTGTCTTACATACCAAGTTGGTTTGAAATTCTGTCCATGCAACTTCTGACTGGAGAACAACATGGGCTGGTTTTTTGTTCCTGTGCTCCTAACTTGGCTTCTTCTTCAGGTGGTCTGGAGTCAGGTAAGAAAAAGAATATATATTCTCTATATCATAGAGAAAGCAATGCAGCTTAAGTTGAGTTTGAGAGGAAAAGACTAAGATATGTTGCTTTTGCAAAGTAAGAATTCTGTTGTCATTTGCATGGAAGATAAAGATTTCTGCTTCCTTGGGGTCCTAGTGCTGCTATTTTGAATAGGGTGTACATGGGAAGAGCTTATCTTGCATTCCCCATTTAGGCAAAATATTCACTAATATTCAAAGCACCACTACCAGAATAATAAGTCTGGGGTTAGAAGCAAGATAAATATTCAAATTTATTTTGTTTCTCCATATTTGAATGGAAATAGGATTTTCTTATTTTTTGCTATAATGCAATGTATTTGATAATGAAATTGGTGCCTTTTTAGCCACTGGATATACTTGGATATGACTGTTCTCTGTTCCTCCAATCTGGCTGAACTATTAAATGCCAAAAAGTAACATCTGAGATTTTGTATTTCCTGTCTTTTGTAGTGAAATACAGCATTTTTCTCGTCTTGTGATAATTTGTTGTAGAGACCAGGAAATTTGGTAGTACACAATACAACACACACTCATATGTCTCCCTAAGTCAAGAGCTCAATCTCTTGTCCCCAGCTTTGCCATAGTCCTCCTGTATCTCTCACAACCCTAACACCACACTTCCCTTGTAATACCATTGCCCATCATGACTACCTGTTTGTCTGTTCCCAGCTTTCTGGAAACTCAAGTCTTAGCTTTGTTTAGATTCCTCTACAGGCTTTGGTACAACCTATAGTAGGTGATGGGGGGTGCTGCTACCATCTACAAGCTATTACACATCAAACTGACTCCTAATAACCAGCTCCTGTGTGAGAAAGTGGCTTCTGATCACTAGGACCAATTATATCATTTCCATGTGCCTTATGGCCAGGAAGCGTTTCTTTCTGGATGCCAATACTTGAAGTTCTATAGTCTGGAAAAAAACTGATAAATTCGTGTCTCATCCAAACTGGTTGACAATACTCCATCTGAAGTTCATGGTGAGACAGGGAAATTTTCATCAGAGATTTATCACACCCTTGAATCGATGTCCAAGCTAGATGAGATGGATCATCTTTTGGAGCTGCCAGGGCATTGTGGTGGTGCCATAGATATTTTAGGGGCAGATCTCAAATTTGAGATCCTCAGGACAGTGAGAAGAGCGTGCAGCAAGCTCGCTGCCCTGGACTTCAAAAGAGCAGACTTTGGCCTCTTCAGGAACCTGCTTAGGAAGGTTCCATGGGATACAGCCCTAGAGGGCAGGGGCACCCAAGACTCTTGGTTGATATTCAAGGATCACCTGCTACAAGCTCAGGAGTGTTGCATCCCAACCAGAAGGAAGTGCAGCAGGAGGGCCAGGAGACCTCCTTGGATGGATAAGGAGCTCCTGAGGAAAATTCAATTGAAAAAAGAGGCTTATAATAAGTGGAAGCAAGGACAGGTGGCATGGGAAGAGTACAGGGATGCTGTCTGGGAAGCTAGGGACCAGGTTAGGAAAGCTAAGGCCCAGTTAGAATTAAACTTAGCTAGAGGTATTAAAGACAACAGGAAGGGATTCTACAAGTACATAGCAAATAAAAAACAGACTAAGGAGAATGTAGGCCCCCTCAGGAAGCTCTCGGGACAACTGGCTACACAGGATTTGGAGAAGGCTGAGGTTCTGAATGGCTTCTTTGCCTCGGTCTTCACTGCCAAAGGCTCTGACCAAACCACCCAAGTCTTGAAAGGCAGATGCAGGGACTGTGAGAACGAAGACCTTGAGCCCACTGTAGGAGAGGAACTGGTTCGAGACCATCTTAAAAATCTGAATGTGCACAAGTCCATGGGTCCTGATGAGATCCATCCACGGGTCCTGAAGGAGCTGGCGAATGAAGTTGCGAAGCCACTGTCCATCATATTTAAAAAATCATGGCAGTCAGGCAGGCTGTCCAATGCCTGGAAAAAGGGAAATATAACCCCCATTTTCAAGAAGGGGAAAATGGATGACCCAGGGAATTACAGAGCAGTCAGTCTCACCTCTGTGCCTGGCAAAATCTTGGAGCAGATTCTCCTGGAAGGCATGCTAAGGCACATGAAAAACAACAAAGTGCTTGGTGACAGCCTGCCTGACCAATTTGGTGGCCTTCTATGATGGGGCTACAGAACTGATGGACAGGGGTAAAGCAGTTGATATCATCTATCTGGACTTGTGTAAAGCGTTCGACACTGTCCCACACGACATCCTTGTCTCTAAATTGGAGAGACATCAATTTGATGGATGGACCCCTCGGTGGATAAAGAACTGGCTGGATGGCCGCACACAAAGAGTTGTGGTCAATGGCTGAATGTCCAGTTGGAGACCAGTAACGAGTGGTGTCCCTCAGGGATCGGTGTTGGGACCGGTCTTGTTCAACATCTTTGTCGCTGACATGGACAGTGGGATTGAGTGCACTCTCAGCAAGTTTGCTGATGACACCAAGCTGTGTGGTTCGGTTGATACCCTGGATGGAAGGAATGCCATCCAGAGGGACCTTGACATGCTTGTGAGGTGGGCTGATGCCAACCTCATGAAGTTTAACCATGCCAAGTGCAAGGTCCTACACCTGGGTCGGAGCAATCCCAGGCACAGCTACAGGTTGGGCAGAGAAGAGATTCAGAGCAGCCCTGCGGAGAAGGACTTGGGGGTGTTGGTTGATGAGAAAATGAACATGGGCTGGCAGTGTGCGCTTGCAGCCCAGAAAGCCAACTGTATCCTGGGCTGCATCAAAAGGAGCGTGACCAGCAGGTCGAAGGAGGTGATCCTGCCCCTCTATTCTGCTCTCGTGAGACCTCACTTGGAGTATTGTGTGCAGTTCTGGTGTCCTCAACATAAAAAGGGCATGGAACTGTTGGAACAAGTCCAGAGAAGGGCCACAAGGGTGATCAGGGGACTGGAGCACCTCCCGTATGAAGACAGGCTGAGGAAATTGGGGCTGTTCAGCCTGGAGAAGAGAAGGCTGCGTGGAGACCTCATAGCAGCCTTCCAGTATCTGAAGGGGGCCTATAGGGATGCTGGAGAGAGACTCTTCACTAGGGACTGTAGTGATAGCACAAGGGGTAACGGGTTAAAACTTAAACAGGGGAAGTTTAGATTGGATATAAGGAGGAAATTCTTTCCTGTTAGGGTGGTGAGGCACTGGAATAGGTTGCCCAGGGAGGTTGTGAATGCTCCATCCCTGTCAGTGTTCAAGCCCAGTTTGGACGAGGCCTTGGGTGATATGGTTTAGCGTAAGGTGTCCCTGCCCATTGCAGGGGGGTTGGAACTAGATGATCTTAAGGTCCTTTCCAACTCTAATTATTCTATGATTCTATGATTAATTACCAGTTTGTTTCTCCACTGATTACTGGGTGAGTCTACTTACCTCATTTTTACATGACTACAATAGGTGAGGTGTTTCCCACCTGTTCAAGGTGCAGTAGGATTATTTGCTAGTTAAATGTGCTCACAAGCCATGGTTTGACTAATCTTCACTGTAATTTAATTCACATGAACCATGTTGTTTGCCAAAGCTGAGGACTAATGTAACAAATACTCTGACCTTTATGTGTGTGTAGATTTGAAAGTAGCAGTGATTAGACTGAATTAGATTCCTCTTTGTTGCATCTCAGGTACTATAACCTTCCTCTGTATGTGACTATGGACTGTGAATCTGTTATTTATTTACAAAACTTCAAGAGACTAGAAATGCATCATACAGGTCTCAGTTGTAATGAGGCTGAAGTTATTGCCACTCAAACAAGTAATATTTATGCACAGAGATGCTTCTTTTGAAGCAGAGTGTTTTGCTGTTGAGATTCACAAGACTAAAAACCTAGTTTTGTTGAGAACAAAATGGAAAAGAGTGATGGAAGGAATCCCTTCAGCATTAAACATTCAGTGACAGTTTTCAGATGCTGAGGATCAGCCTGGATTTCAGTTGGTTGCTGAATTTTGTATTCTTCAGTCATGGACTCACATTTTGGTTTATGCACCAAAAGTACTGCTGGACTTAGCTATATTAATTTCTGTTTGTAAGCTTTTGCTGATGATAGAGGAGCATTTCCATGAGCTAGCCAGTTTTTAACTTTAGCACCGTTGTGCTTTCTGGTTAGTAGATATGGGTACGTTGTAATTTATAATTACTGAAACCGTGCAAACATTCCTCATTAATGTTTATAAGGGCATTCAACATATAGGGCTATGATTCTTTCTTTCCATCAACAATCTTTAACGGAAAAGACAATAACTTTGATTTCAATGAGAATAACAATGATTTCAATTTTTTAATATTGCAAGCTATACCCGTCATTTTTAATTCCACATTAGCTAGAAATCTGTGTGAGAGTTGGAGTTTAAAAGCAAATGAAGTCTTCAAAATGTGTTACACACTTTCCCCATTTACTTTCAGCTTGTTTTGCAAGCTTCACTGAAATTTCAAAACTTGAATACATGGGTAGTGTCTCATGCATATCAAGTGATAACAAAATGTAGTGATAGGATATACATGCAATCAAACTTTAAAATGTGAGAGGAGTCTATTGACATTTCAACTTTATGGATCATTTGTCTGCAAAAATTTTTGGGATTATTAAACTGCATCTATAAACAGTTATATGTTTATTCTTTTTCCTGAAGTGCCCATCCTTATTTTTCATTTATCAGTGTAAACCTGCATAGTACCAGCTAACTCACTGAAGTGTCAGTGAGATCAAAATAAATCCTTCAGCATTTGCATCTGCCCAGCTCTGGAGACATTTTTTCAATGGACTCAGTCACTTTTCCACAATGATGCTGGGTTTTTTAGAGTTGGTTCTCTTAAAATCTACCAAATTTTGAAACAGTCCAAAACAGTGAAGTGCTGAAACAGGGCTGTTTTGGGAGAAATGGAACAGGAACCACTAGAATAGGTTGCCCAGAGAAGCTATGGATGCACCATCTCTGGCAGTGTTCAAGACCAGGCTGGATGTGGCTTTGAGCAACCTGGTCTAGTGGAAGGTGTCCCTGCCTGCGGGAAAGCTGACACACAAGCAAATATCCAGTCAAATGAAGAGGCAGTGGGTCCAGTCAATCCAACACAAAGCCATACCCTAAGTGCTGTCAGTTGAGCTTAAATCTCATCTCTAATACTGTTGTGAGAGTAACGTGAGCTGCATTTCATTATATGCCTTTCTAATAATATCTTCTTTTCTTCCCCCTCCCCAGCCTGCTCCAGAGACAACTGGTGAGTTCTGTTTTGAAATCTATTTGCATGCATGGGAGGCAGTCAACAAAACCAGCTGCTCATAAACATCGCTAGGACAGACACAGATTTATAATTACTGTTATTGTTATTGCATTAATTTTCACACTTCATAAAGATAACAGCAAGGGCTAATGTCCTACCTCACTTGTCTTTTTATTTTCAGAACGAGATGTAGATGGAGGAATTGATCAAGACATCTTTGACATCAATGAAGGTTTTTTTAAATTCACTTTCTCTTTTAAATTTTTTTTGGTGATTTTTATTACGGGAGCCACAGATCAATGCGATAACTGAAAGTTAATCTCCTTTTTTCTTTAGCTTTAGGACTGAACCTTTTTGAGGGAGACATCAAACTTAACAGGGTGAGTTCAAATATAAAATATAAAACCAGAAACCTGTCATTGACTTATGCAACATAAAGTATTGCTGGCATGGAAATGATTGATGCATCCTGCTCCTACTAACAATAAATGCTGTTTATGTAACAGTAAACTGAATATATTTGGGGATGGATTTCTACAAAATGTCATAAACAATGAAGGAGCCAGGCGCATTTGCAGAAACATTATCCAGGGTAAAGTCAGTTTAGCCATTAGATCAATATTATTAGTTTCTTGTTTCCTTTACTGTGTTCCTTGTATTAGAACTTTTAGGAGATTCACCAGCACTGATCATCACGCAGACAGGTTTATATAAAAGATTCTCCATATATCTGTGCAATATTTACAATGAGCCGATTAGATTTACAGATGAGTGCTGCAAAACCTTCATCATTTAAGTAGATTCACTAGAACTAATGGAACTAATGGAAAAAATTAGATCTATAACATGTTTTAAAGCCTCTGCCCTACCTGGCCAATTAAAAAAGTAAATATATTTACATAACAAGTTGCATCTCAAAAACAGCTGGTAGAAATCCCCAAACTGTCTTGAGCACCTCAAAATCAGTAATGATGTTTTACTCTCACTTTTGGTGAACTGCTTTGGCCTGAGTGTATCAGTGGAAGCAAGAACAGCACTTGCTAAGGGCACAGGAACAAACTCTTGCATTATGGAAAATTAAAAAAATTATTAATGTCTGTACAGTTGCCAGGACTTTAGATCTTAATGCTTCCCACAGGAGCCAAAGCTCTCCTCACACTGCCATCGAAATCCCAGGTAATTTCTATGGAAAAAATGCTGCAGAAATTGAAGAAAGAAGGGAGTGAAGGGATTTCAAACCCGAGCCTTAGACCTCTGATCTTCTGAAGTTTTTGAGCTCTTTGATGATGTATCTTACCCATATGGGCTTGTAGGAAAAATGCTTTGCTTTAGCACTATTGTAGTCCCTGATCCTAACCCACATTTTACTCAGGACTTCATACCTACTTCTTTCTCACATGCAGGCACGAAACTCCATCATTGGTGACAAATATCGGTGGCCCCATGTTATTCCCTATGTCCTTGATGATAGCCTAGGTATGGTATTTGCCCTTGACAATGTCCATATGTTGTGTTGATTGAAATGTTAAATACCGGTTGATACATACTCTGTGGCACCTTTTATTGTAAGCCCAGAGCAGGCGTTTCCCACAACAGGGTTTGGCCTGGGTAAGCACAAGCAGCATGTCTCACCTTAGTGTTGGTGCTGGTTCTCACCTCCTTTCTTGGATGGTTCTTATCCCGCCATTGCTGTGGCCCAGAAAATTGATTTGGTTTTAAATGCATATAAAATTGATTTGGTTTTAAATGCATATGTCTGGGACATGAAACTCTACTAAGCAGAAATAAAAACAGGACACTGATGATCTTTTCAAAGCCCAGAAGCTTACCTGGCCATGTACATAATCTACAGCACCAATGGCAAACTGGGATTCTGGCAGACAACACAGTTTGCACTGGCACATTGCTGAGTCCCCTTGTCTTAATCCAACAAAACGCCTGCTTAGTTTAATCAAAGATTGCTGGAGTAAGACCCACCCTTAGGACGTGCTCCATACAGATAATAGTACAAACCTATTGGCTCAGTATTGACAAGAACACTCTGCTTTGCAGAAATGAATGCTAAGGCACTCATCCTCAAGGCATTTGAACAGTATCGACTGAAAACCTGCATTGACTTCAAACCTTGGGAAGGGGAGAAGAATTACATACATGTGTTCAAAGGAAGTGGGTAAGAGGAGTTATGTAAAATAAATTTTATCCGGTTTGACTTTAACCTATTTTTGTGGCCATTATTCATCTAAAACTCATATATATATGTATATAATTTTGTATTTTTGTTGTGTCCATTTTACTAGTCTTTTTTTTTAACTGGAAATTGTAGTAGTTTCCAAACCAGATATTACCTTGGTAACAATAAACAATTTTTTGCTGATACTTCTTTCTAAGTGTGGGAAGAAATCAAGTCCTTTAAGAGTTAATTTTCTGGGCACGGTAAAACATATCAGAAACAAGCCAATTATTTTCTGGATTGATTTTTGGATATATGAAGTATCACTTTCAAATGGTCATTCTTAGTTTAACAAAATGGTCACCTTAGTTTAACAAAAACAATCCCAGCAGCAATATGATAGTTCTAATTATGGGACAATGAATTTTTTTGACTATTACAATGGAATTGCGTCTGAGCAATGTCACACCAGCATTCAGATATAACAGCAATATTTTTAAATGCTTGCATAGCACTTAGATATTTTACAGAGGTTTCACTTTATTTACCTCTTTTGATGAATAGTTATGCTATTCCACCTTAAATTTTGTAAAATAAGACTCCATAAGGAATTCAAAATTGCCCCAGCTGCTTCACTTTCTCAGACAGTCTCTGTCAAAACAGTGCAACAAGAATAAAGATATCTCCTCTCTATGCTGAAACATTTCTCTTTTAGAAAAGGAGATCAAGGAAAGCTTGATAGCCTGCTGAGGAAATTTACTTTCATAAAATCATTTCCTGATATGAGAATGCATTCATAAATGGGAAAAGATTTTCTGATAATAAAAATGTTTCTCTTTCCATTTGACTTGTTCTGAGATATCTGTAGCAGATAATTGTTTCAGAATGTCTTCAGTCTCTGGCTTTTTATACCTTCTTTTCTTCATGCTGTACACATGACATTGAAACTCAACCCTAAAAGATGTGTAAGTGGAGACGTAGGGAGCAATGCATTTTCCTGTGCTAATAACTTGGGCTTGTTGAGCCAAATGGAAAACTCATGTAGATAAATTTTTTAGTCCTTCATCACCTAAAGTATGCATTGAATTTGCTAATAATTGTACCTGAAAAACTGCAATATTTAGCCTATGGCAAATTAGAGGCCTCTGCATGATGTTTCATTTATGTATCTATTAAAAATAGATGAGTCATGGTGATGAAGATGACAAGTCATTCTAGTTGGATAACATATCTTGTCCTCACTGCCTGGTGTGTTGCTTGCCCTGAAATTTTTCTATCACCTCAGCTGACACATTCTTAAAACAACTAATGCTCAGCAGCACTTCTTAAAAGGTTGGAGCTAAACAATGCAGTCTCCTGAAAATGGCTGTCCAGTTTCAGTGAGCTAGCTTCGGGCTGCACAAAATGTTATCAGGACTGACCCTTCATTTCACTCCATGACTGTCTTGTGATATAGTGGGACAAGGTGAAAGGTAGATAAACCAAAACATTTCCCCTCTGCAGTTCCTAATTATTATTATTATTATTATTAATCAGTGAGGACCCTTCTAACTGCAGACTAAAGACCTCAGTCCAGCGGGTACAGTACAGACAGGAGTACAAAGTTCCTGGCAACACCAACCGGATTAATGAAGTTTTAGCACACCAGGAAAAAGTTGATAAATCATCTTTGCCTTTCCAATCTTGGCTTGCATCTATGAAACAGACAGAGGAAGGTGAGGGAATTTTGTATCAAAAGGATTTGTAGTAGACCATAAAGTCCTCATCTGGATTATCCTTTTGAATCTAGATGAAGTCAGCCACAAAAGAAGCCAGCTGCTGTTTTGTTGTGTTGACTGCCCTGTGCAAATACACATTTGTAGACTCTGAAGTACCGTATGTAGGGTCATCTCTGTATTCTTCTCATGAATAGAGGACTCATTTAGCAGGAAATTTTGCATGGTGTGGAAGACCCAAGTGGTTAGCAGACCAGGGAGGATCAACACCATCTCTATTATTTCCACATGGAAAATCAGGTTTTCATGGAGGTCTGGGGGTGTCAGTTCAGCTCTTTACCACTGTGTCACACGGCAAAGAGAACCCATGCAGAAATGGATTAATACAGATCCCTGGCTAACCAGCTTGGTGCTGGGAAATCAAAGTGTTTATGTGCTTGTACTGGTGATCTGTGATACCATAGGAAGTTATTTGCTAGCAGGACGTTAGGATAGAATGTGCTTGAAGTAAGTAGCATCATTGCTACTAATGGCATGTATCTACTTACAGCTCATCTTCCAAAAAGAAGGCTGGTGGGATTAGTCGGAGCAGATACCTTCCTGTTTCTCTAGCCTCTGATAGAGCAACTAGCAATGCAGAAAGCATAGAATCAGAGATAGAGCTCTCACACACTTGGAAAACTGGGACTTTCTCCCATTTTTTCCCCTCCTGAAGACACTCCTAACACGGGATTCCAGGTGCTCATTGCTCTGGAGCGCTGACTTGTATTATTCTCAGTGCTGGGTAACGCAGACCATGTATTTACTCCCTCTGTGGCTGCAGAGTGATGGTGTTGTAGGCATTTGGTAGTCTGAAGGGAAGGCGGAGCTGCGTCCCCTGGTGTTCAGATGTTAATTTTGCCTGTAGCCTGCTGTGTGAAGCCAGGAGCAGCTGCTTTGGTATGAGATGGACCCAGAACTGTGATGGACTTCTTAGACTTCCGCACAACACAAGAAAAAGCTGCATAATCAATATGAGGCCTTGTTCAAGGCAAGCCTGTGAAATTATGGATGCCATATGTGCTTATTCTGAGGTGTCATACTGTGATTTTAATAAGTAATCAACAGCCAAGGCCTATGCTGCTTTGTGGAAAGAGAAATACTAGGGAATATGTTGTACTAATAAGTTACAGGGTTCAAAAGCACATGGTGTGCTTTTGTTTTTAAATTTCTGGGGTGATAGAACTGCAAATCCTATGGCATATTTTGTGCCTGATTAATTTTATGTACTTCATTCGGTAAGTGTTGATTTATTTGATGCTTAAAATACCAATTTAAATGTAGCTCTCTGTGCTTGCTGGTTTGTGGACATGGGGTGCCGTCTTATTGTCTTGTGCAGATAGCTCACTGAAATTTTTATCCTTTAATAAAAACTTCCAGCACAGCTGCAGTTTTGCTCTTCCTTGTGAGTGTGTGTCAGCAGCAAGTGCTCTAGAACAGAAACTCAGAAATAGAAAAGAAAGAGCTTGTGAAAAGCACTATCAAATCTACCAACCTTTTGAAAGCTAAACACAGCCACAAAGAAGTGCATCTTGCCTGGCAGCCACAGCCCCTCACAGAGAAAAAGGCCAAAACAATGGAGAGAAGCAGCTGCAGTGGCAGAGTGTGCATGAACCTGGTTCCCTTACAACAGGGACTGGCTCAAAGTGCACTACAGCCACATACTGTGATCCATCTGACAATTGTTAATCTGCAGTAACTTAATTGCTCTAAGTTATGTGTCCATAGTCTTTAATGTTTACCAGAGTGCCAATGAAATCCTCAATAGTTTTCTGCTGTCACAAATAGCTCAACATTCTTCTGCTAAAGAAAAACCATTAAAGAGCCAGAATAGGAGAACTGCTTGTTCATCAAAACAGAGCTAAATGTGAGAGGAAAAGGTCTGATAAGGACCAGATCAATGAATAAGTGCTCTCTGTAGCAAAATGTAACTTCAACACTCAAGTTAAAAATGTACCTGTTGAACAGACTGATTCTGGAGCTCGCATGGCATGGGGATGGCATGTATCTCAGAGAGCCCTCTCTCATCTTGTTTCAATGCTAGCTGCTGGTCCTCAGTGGGAAACCTCCAAAGGGGGTTGCAGGAACTCTCCATTGGAGCTGGCTGTGACAGGATCGCGACAATCCAGCACGAGTTCCTGCACGCCCTGGGATTCTGGCATGAGCAGTCACGGTCTGACCGGGATGACTATGTGTCCATCATCTGGGAGAGGGTTCTGTCAGGTCAGTTACTCACCTGATTTTCCCTTCAGGCTCTGGTGTTAGGGGGTTTAGTAGTGGAACATAGCTTCCAGCCACCCTTTGGTGGTCACACTATTCTCCTCTTACCTGGACTTACATTTCAAAGCCAGCATATTAGTGAATTAAATATCAGGTGACACCTATTCAGGACAGAAAGCCTTGTTTGTGGTTGTGGTTATTGCTTCTGCCACAGCAGTTGCCAAAGCCCTAGCTAGAGGCCTGAGTCCTGGTATGCTACATGTAGTACAGCAGAGCAGCAGAAGGGAATAATTTGGTTTGTTAAAATGAGTACCCTGAAAGCACTGTTGGTCTGGGAGCCCTTAACAAAACAGAAGTAATTGAAAAAAAATCCCACTCTGAAAAACCCAGCATGACCAAAGTTAGTAGAAAATCTCTAGTGAAAACACTGGTCATCCTTTCCTGCTGACCATTACACCTGGTGCAGCAGAACTGAGACAGTAGAGCATGCAGAGAGGGTGTGCAGGTAGGAGAGACCCTTCTCGGGGTCCGCATCACATGAGCAGTTACTTTAGTAATGCAGCTTGTGAATGTAAGCCATGGTGCATTTGGCACCAGCCTGAGAGCTGGCACAGGGATCCTTGGGACTCAGTCTCTTCAGCTTGCCCTTGTCCTCTGTGACTTTCAGGCAGTCCAAAACCAAAGTTATATACACAGACTTGATGTTTCCCTAACACAGGTACACACAAGACTGAAAAAGTAGATAATGATTAAGTCTAATGCATTCTTCTTCAGTAGTGATCAATAGTCAGGTGCATATGCAAGCATACATTACAGAAAATTACTTAGACTGTTATTTGATTTCCATTATACTTTGCTGACTCTTTAATAACAAGTTGAACTATTGTTAGACATTTGAAACTGCTGCAGCTTTTTACACTGACCAGAGTATAGTTACTGTATTTTGACTAATTTAAAATGTTTACCTTATAGCTAGTAATGGGGTTTTGCTCATACTCCAGAAAATATCTGTAAAGGTAAATTCTGGATGCTTATCTGATAAAAGCACTAACTGGTTTATTGTGAGCTAAAATGGCTAGCAATTATATATCAAGAATACAGATTAGAAACAGGGATTCACTGCAGTTGCAAATTGCATTAATCTGAGTATGAAACATTATCTCCACTTTTGGGAATCATAAAGCCACCAAAGTTTACAGGTGTTTCACAGGAAGAAGTTTTCTGGTAGCAAAAGGCTTTGTTTTATCCAGCAGAAGTCATTGTGTTATGTTCCAGTGGCTGAAAGAGGAAAGTAAATAACTCCAGACTAGAAATAAAGTAGTTTTACAGAGCAAGGACAAGTAAATGACTACAAAAAACACTCTGGGATCTGATGAATTCTCTGTCACTTTGAGTCTTTACACAGAACTTGGTCCTCTTGGGCAACAAAAAATCTTCTCTTTTGTTTTTCCCATTTAGGTAGAGAACATAATTTCAACAAATATGATGATAAAAGATCAGACTCCCTGAATGTCCCTTATGATTATACTTCTGTGATGCACTATAGCCAGAATGCATTCAGGAACGGAACTGAACCCACCATTGTCACTAACATACCAGACTTCATGGACGTTATAGGACAGCGAATGGATTTCAGTGATTATGATCTCCAGAAACTGAACCGGTTGTACAATTGCTGTAAGTTTCTCCATTGCTTTTAAACTTCTTCACTTCTGGCAGCTGAAAGAAAAGAGGGTGATACGTACACACTGGACTCATCCAGGCACAAGTGAAAGAGATGCTAACGTATTTGCAGAAGTGAATTGTGTTAAAAACACCATAAATAATGGTACAGCTAGGAAAAGCATAGGCCTCCTGCAGAAACACTGCTATGCAGCAGTTTTCTGTGCAATCTCATCTGACCTTAGCTAAAAACCAGCTTCACTCAGCAGTGGATTTTTGTTCCTCCCTTGGGTGGCTGTTTAAAATGTGTGCTTCTGCACAAAGCTTTCTGTTTGTTTTTTTTTTCTCCATTATTGCACAGCTGTTGCTCAGACACTGTACAGAAATGAGTATCTTTGCTGTGGCTATCGTACCTACTCCTCTTCCATGGACTCTGTGAGACCACCAGTGTTCAAGCAAATAGGGTACAGATGCTGTTATGCAGAAAACGTGTGCTTTTTAGATTTTTTCCTTTTAGTTTCAAACCCAGTCTCTTACAAAAGTGGTCAAAAGAGTTATTTTGCTTATATGGGATTTATTTTAGAAAGTTGAGTGAAAGTAAGAGACAGAGAAATACAGATAAGTCTATTACAAAACTGGAATGTAATTCTGTAATTGTGACTGCATCAAACGTGCCCTGGCACTCAGATGAAAACTCTTATCTCACTGCCTCAATATCCCAAGTAGTGAGTACTAGTTTACAACTATATATGAAGCCTCATTCTACAGATACCTTAAATAATTATAAAAGTTTTATTAAACCAGTGCTTTTTTTTTGAGCATACAATTCTCATGAAATATTTCTGTTCATGTAGGTCTAAACTGAACACACACTTACATGCAGCCTCACATTCTACCACTTGGCACACAGTCAGGTGTTACAGAAGTGATTACAGCTAAGGATGTCTTTAACAGTGAATGGGGTCCTTCTTCCTCCCTCTTAAACTTATATACTTTCCATCATTCTCATGCACTATGTGAATACTTCATGAGATTTTAACTTTTTTCTTAACCCACAGGCACATTCCCTGTGTGAAATAAACCCCAGCCATGTTGAGATCAGTGACAAAACTGCCACCACCTCCAGTGCAATCAGGATCTTCCCTCCTGTCTAGTTTGTCCCTTGGCTTTGTATAGTGCCCATGATATTTACAGAGCCATAAGTAGTCTTCAGATCACCCACCATTTGCCTAAATGGCCCCTGTGCCAGGGAAGATGGATGTTTCACAGGTCTCAGCCCTTGCTCATTCTGCCGCTAGGCTGATCCTTTTAGGTTATGGGAAGACTGAGAATTCTAAACATGGTTTGGGTGGCAGATATCCTCCCAGAGGAATCAGAAAATCACTTCTGTTGCTGAACATGATTCAAGGAAAAGGTTAAGATTAACTTCTGCTAAAGGCCTGTGTGGTTAGGAAATTCCATTAAAAATGGCAAACTTGGTTCTAACGTTAAAAAAAAAACCCAACCCGCAGCATAAGAAATCTTGACTGATACTTTAGAGCTGTTCTCATCTTTTTTTCAGGACTGTCTTTCAGGCTGTATGATAACAGTAGGTTTTAGTCTGTTTTACCGTTCTAGCATACTACTTAACAGAACCAACCATGAATTTTCACCATGCTACTGGAAGTTAGGACTCAGCACTCCTCCACCATGTATTTTCTTCCAAGTCCAGCCTTTCACTACATACCAAGAAAGTATTTGGCTTTTGGGGCAGATGGAGTTCAAAACCTGCCTCAAGCAGTGCCCCCTTCTCCTATTTCAGGAATTAATCTAAGGAATAAATCATAAGAAATTGGGTCTCGCTTTTCTCTCTTCCTGTTGTTCAGGTCAGCACTCCATGCCAGCCAGCAGTGTCTAATTAAAGTAGTTTGGCTGCTTCTTTTCTGTTTGGGCAAATCAATTGCATATTTTGGTTTATATTTTGATTTCAAAGAGTTATTTCATATAATTGTCCCTTTTGTTTATATTCTTTCTCCAGCAGTCAACATAACAGTTACCATTAAAATCTCTTGTTTTTTTACATCATACCAATACTGTGCCTTAGAAGGTATCAGTCACACAACACTTCTGATAGCCTTACAGCTCTGTAGGGCTGTTAGCTTTTTATGAGGACACTACAAATATCTCAGCAGTACAACTGATATGGCAGCAGCTCATACTTAAGTGTTTCCCTGAGCCACAGCCTAAGTGAGGCATTTGGCATGCCATTGAGGTTGATTTTTGTGATACTCAAGGTCCTTTTTGTAGTGGAAGTTTTCTCCGTATCAAATGAAACCTTTAAACCTGCCACAATACTTTATATGTACTTTGAAAAGCATTTTATTATATGATTTGTTTTCAGATCTTGTCCGGTGATACACAGAACTTAGGCATGGTACAATGGGAAACAAAACTAAGATCAGGGATAAACCTGGACTGTATCTTCCCTTACCCATCCAGGGTTTGTTTTAGACAGAGAAACTATTTCCTACAGTGGTCTCCCTTTCATATTCAACTGCACAGTCTTCCTTTACTTAATTTTTCACTTGTTATATGCAAGACATCTTAAAAATTGGTTCCAAATGTACCTTTTGTCAAACATGTTGGGTTTTTTCTGTTCAGCAGTTTGAAAATCAAGGTTTGCTTATTGCAGTGAAATAACTTCTGCTATGCTATATTTCAAAATAAGCACTCCAGCTCAAAATCTGTGGCCATGTCTGGACCAGCCCGAGGAAAGCAGAGGCATGAATGGGAAGTCTCAGGACCTTTTGACAGTGTGAAAGTCGGTGGGTTTGGACTGATATTAGTGTTCGTTTTGTAAATAAAAAACGTGATCTGATAATTAGCTGGCACTCTCCTGTGCTTCCTGGGTGCCCAGAGTGTTCCTGACAACATCTTATTAATGTCAGTTAATTGCCAAATGCTTTGAGTTCCAGAACATTATACTTATGAACATTGATGGTAAGCAAAGCCACTGATTATTTGGTGTTTGCATTTAGTCTTTCTCTGCTCTTGGCTTTTGGACATTCAGAATTAAGATGGATGTTGTGTAATGGAGATTCACAGCTTTTTGTTTCTTTTTCTTTTTTTTTGTTTTTTTTTTGAATGTTATAGCCTCCTCCCTGAGTTTCATGGACACATGCAGTTTTGAGCTTGAAAATATATGTGGCATGATTCAAAGTTCAGATGATAACAGTGATTGGCAGCGTTTGTCTCACGTTCTTGCTGGGCCATATACTGATCACACTAATATGGGAGAATGTGAAGGTATGAGAAAATACTGTTCTTATCTTGCTGGCAATTATATTCTGCAGAGGCATGTGAGTTGACTTCGATCTTGGCCTTGCTCTCTGTTTATTTGTTAACAAATCACAGCTTATTTTTTAACTAAGCAACATAAATCTACATACTCAGGGATAACGATCGATTTTCTGCTTATTTGAGAAAACTGAATGTCCTTATCTCTTTTAATTTGTTTTCTAGTCTTAGTGCCACATGCTGACATGAGAACTGTATAAAATGTTCTAACCTATGGTACAGGCGCACCAGAAAGATTGCTGCTTTTCTCAATAATAGCTCAGAAAATCCTTGGAAAGGATTGGGATTTAGAAATTATGTGTATTATCCCTGCTCAAGTGAACAGTTAATTGGGAATATAGCCAGTTGTTTCTGAACCTGCCAGAAAAATCTTCATGAGTTCAGGAGCTTAAACCAGTCCTCCAGAGGGAGAGTCAATGATGAATTACTGGGTAAAGAGTACAAACTGCTAGAGACAGAAAAACGAGGAAAAATCTTGCAAGGATCTGAGGGTTTGTACAGAATCTACTTCACCCTGACTTGACCATGTCTTCTTGTGTTTGCTATTACAAGACAGCGTTAAGAATAGCAGTATGCCAGGAAAATTCTATTTTCTTTCTCCTCTACCATTAATTTCTCATTGACTTTTCACAGATTCTGGCTACTTCATGCATTTCAACACCAGCACTGGAGTAGAGGGAAGCACAGCTATCCTGGAGAGCAGAATTTTGTATCCCAAAAGGGGTTTTCAGTGCTTACAATTCTATTTCTATAACAGTGGTCATGAAAGTGATTGCCTGCATGTCTGGGTCAGGGAGTATACTTCAGCCCATCCGAATGGCACTTTGAGACTCATTGAAGAGATAAAAGGTATGGAATAAAACTGCATTTTGGTTTAATCTATACTCAATATCCTTTTCAAAGTACTGGGGGGAAATGTTGTATCAAAGTGACTCATCTCGTAGTGTTATTCTTTGGCTTCTTCTCTATGTGATTGATTCTTTGCTGGTGAAATTATACTTGATGAATATATACTTGATCCTCAGTCAGATTTTCCTGTAATGTAATCAATTACCACAAATTGCAAACTCTTGCATTATCAAGATGGTTTTCTCACCAAAATAGCTAAAATTCCATGAGTAGTCATTTTAACTGTTCCAGAATTGCTGGCGTCAATAGCAACCGATGAAGTTGGTCATTAGAGTAAATTGCAATGACTAAGAAAGTAATAACAAAGAAATGGAAAGTGTAAGTGTCCTGGATTACCTAACATACTAGTTTAAAAAGGATAAATAAAATTCAGCTTACTTTTTAAACAATGTTTGAAATTACTTATCTGAAATACATGGGCAGCAGATCATGATTTGAGTTGTAGTTTGAAGAAAACTGAGTTCTTGTGCTTTTAGGAGGTTATGACCTACCGAATGAGCAACTGGGGTCAGTTAGTGCACAAGAGCTCTTTAAGCTAGAATTGCCAAAGTTACCTTATGATTAAATTACTTTATCACTTAGCTATCACTTGGTGTCCATTACAGCTATAACTATTTTAATCTTCAGGTTACCCAAGGGTCTGTGCAAGTTCTTTCACTAAACAGGTTATCAAGTCCACTCTTCTGCCTCTTCTTATTCCTTTAGGCTCATCTGCTGCTGTGCCCGTTTTTCTTTTCTTTTTCTACTCTTTTCTACACCCTGATACTTTCATCATCCCTGTGTGCCATCAGGAATCCTTAATAGAATTGTCACAGTTTCTGAGGCAGATGCGTATTTCAGATCAGTCTGAGCGCTCCAACCTCTTTCAAACCCTACTTTGAAGCCAAGACTAATTTCTCCACAGTTCAGCCTTCTTCACAAATACTCTTTCATATATATTAGGTCCCATACCCCATTCTTTCTTTCTCAAGTCCACAATTTCCTTTTAAGTAAGTCTTTGATCACATATGTGTGTCCAGATAGGCATCCTACTTTGATAATCACTGGTAAAAATTTCAGGAATGGTTTGAGATAGTTTTTTTCCTGCAAGCTGTTTCACTGTTCTTATGTGAGAAGTCACCCTCACCAGCGCAGTTAAACTGGAAGAAACAATGACCCTGCAGCCCTTTCCAGCCGTGGTGTGACATGCTGACTGAGCTGCTCATGGGTTTGCACTGAACCATCACGCCTGAGAGGCTGAAGGACAAGCCCTGAGCTCTTTCTCCTGATCTGTGGCACAGGAGCAGGGGATATTGTGGAGGCTATCATGGTGGGACATTTTACAGCACAGTTAGCTGGTCTGCTCATTGAACATAAGTCAAAAACTCCTGTCCTGCATCTAATCTGTGCAGTTCAAAAAATCCTTATGCAGAAGGCAACTTAATAAAAAACAGTGGGTTTTGTTCTTGTTTCTGTGTTTACTTTTTTCCTCCTGCTTATAACAGTAATGAAAAATGGCAAGAAATTAAGACTCATATCTGAGATCCATTGTGTTGTGTTTAGAATTGTTAGGAGACTGAGTCATGAGTTCTGTACCTGTGATTGGCACTGCTTATTCCATAAATGCAGCTGAAAGTCTGGTCTTCTGTGCAGATGAACATAAACCAGACAGCAAAAGAAACTGTTTTGCTGCACATACTGTTAACAAAGGATGTCCTACTTTCACCTGCCTTACAAAGCCCCTGTGCAGAGGTCTTTGCTTTTGTGTACACTGCTCCTGTAGTCAAGTGCAATTTGCTAGTGCAGGCACTTTTGGATGCAGCATCAAATTTGCAGTGAGGTTTTATCACATGAAGAAGGTTTTGCAAATGAGTGGTTTAATTTGAACTTAGTACCATTTATCATTTGATGGATGGAGAGTGCTTCTGCATAGGCAAACTTCTGACAAGTCATTTAAATACACAAAACCAACCAAATGAACCAACCTTGTGGTTCTGGGCTCCCAGAATCCTCTTAACATTTTTTGTTGAGACATGTTAATTTGATTATATTTTGTTCTGAATTTTCCTCTTCTTAATAATAGAGGTGACAGCCATCTTTGTGCATCTAATTATCACAACATTTGGACTAATTTAATGCAATGTTCTTTAAAAACATAAAAGAAAACACTGTCTTAAGAATGATTAACACTGTTTTCACTCAAATTGCAGAGCTGTTATGCGTATTAAATCTGTTGAAAATTTGAATTCAGAAAATATGATCTTGCGCTGAAAAAGTAACATCTACAGGAGAAACATTCTATCACCTCAGAGCCACTGGAATTAAGAAATTCTTACATGGTGTTATGGGGTCCATAGCTCTTGGCAGTATTTGACTGTACTGCTTACTTCATAAATGCTTGTCCTTGTTTTCAGGTTCACCTGCGGGTTACTGGCAGCTCCATCATGTTTCTTTGAATGTCACAAGTAAATTCCGGGTTGTGTTTCAAGGCATGAAAGGAAGTGGCTTATCAAACGGAGGCCTCTCTATTGACGACATCAACTTGTCAGAAACTCAGTGTCCCCACCATGTCTGGCATATCAGAAATTTCACGCATCTCCTCAATACAAGTCCAGCAGGGAGATCAGGACGAATATACAGTCCACCCTTTTATTCAAGTGAAGGGTATGCTTTTCAGGTCAGCTTATATGTAAATGGTACCACTGATAATCCCTTTAATTTGGCAATTTACTTCCACTTGATTTCTGGAGCAAATGATGATCAGTTGCAATGGCCCTGTGCATGGCAACAAGGTACCATGATTCTGCTCGACCAGCATCCTGATATTCGTCAACGGATGTCAAACCAAAGAAGTATAACAACAGACCCTCTGGAATTATCAGGTTAGTTAAAATCAGACATGATATGCAGTACATTTAAAATGTAACCAAAAGACAAGGAGTTAGTTTTTCTCTTTGTGTAAATTAGTGCAGTTTTTTTCAGCTTCTGGAATGTTTTAATTATTTGCAGCAACAATATAAAAGATCCGCAGACCAGAGAAAATTAGACATACAAGTAGATTAAGCTGAGACCCTGGATTTTAAGGCTGATTTGCATAAGAAACTGGTGGATGATCCACTCCTAAAACTTCTCCCATATGTTCTGTGAAGATGCATTTATATCTGCTTTAATGAGAATGGAAGTTTTCCAGAAGGCTTTAGAAGAAAAATACTGAATTAACAATACACACAGTTCATACCAGATAAAAGTGAAGCTATTAAACAAATCCCTGCCCTCCTTGTAAAAGGTATAGTGCTGTCAGTGCAGATTTCCAGATGGACAAAGTACTGATTCGTATTACATAATCTGTACTTGTTCAAGATGTGAGGAGATAAGGAGCAATTGTCCTTAATAACTGGGAAAGGAGGCAGTGGAAGTAAAGATGTAACTATGAGAAAAGGTAGGAATCTCTGTAAAGAGAGATATTAAAGACCCTCCCTTCTCTCCAATAGTCATCATTGGATAAATATTGGATTTAAGTCCAAAATTATTTTCTGCATTGATGTAAGGGTCTTGTCAAAACAAACCACCTCTACCACTGAATTACTCTCCTGGGCCTTCAGACTGTATCATTAGTGAAGGAAGGAAGGCACAAAAATGTCTAATTTACAGTATTATTTTTAAAATGTTACGCTTTTCATGGATTTTTCTATGACACTGTCTGTACATGAAAACAAAGTGGGTAATCTGGAAAGACTAAATGCCCCCCCCGTAATTGAAAAACGTAGCACACCAGGTCCTCCATAGATAGATGGACATAAATGTGCTCTCTGCTGTTATGGCCACAGTTTGCACTCTGCTCCTTCTCCTGTGTTCATGTATTGTTGATAGCCCCCAGATTCCCAAGAGAAGCCTTGTAACTACTATCCTTTCTCTAACCAGCGGAAGTGTTGGAGTAGGCAGTTTCTTCTCCCTCTGGCAGATACTTTCATAGACAATCAGGCTCAGCTTTGAGATTTAGAATAGGATTTAATGGAGGGGACATCAGTGGCCTGTGACTGTTCAGGTTGTTCAAGTACCTTGTGCCCTTTGTCCACATCAAGAGATGCTCTTTTTTGAGGAGCACTGAATCAATTCATTTCACATATGATTCATGTACTACTAATCTTTTTTTTCCACTACACTTACTTTAAAAGAACTGAAAAGAAAATACAACCGGTTTTCAGCCAGCTCTTCAATAACCTAATCTCCAGCAAGTCCTTTTCTCAATACCCTATGCTAAAACAAGCCATTGAAGATCTCCATTGTCTTGAGCGTCTCATCAGTGTGGAATCTCAAGCAAAAAATCTGCAAAAATCTGTAGGCAGGTTCAGCATTGCTCCTAGTACTTGAGTTTGAAGTAATTTAGTGTGTTCTCCATAACTGTGATATCCACAAGCAGCTAAGGAGAAGCTGGCAAAGTAGGATGCCATCTGCCGTGGTTGTTGAGAGAGGCCTCAGTACTTTTTTGCAGCAGGGATTATCTAAGAAGGAAGGGACCCTACTGAGAAAGAAATCCAGAGTGGTCCCACACTCACATTCAGTTGATTTTTTTTCCAGAGTCTTCGTCAACATATTTTTGGGATAGGCCAGATAAAGTGGGATCCATAGCAACTTTTCCTAATGGAACTACATTCATGAGAGGTCCAGGAAGTGGAACAAGTGTATTTTTAACTCATCAGAGACTTAGAAGCCGCAACTTTATTAAAGAAGATGGCATTTATATTCTTTTAACAATGGAAGGTATGTAAACATTGCTGATATTCTTTATGATACAGTAAAAAAAGGAGTGTCACATACTTACCAAGTAATTAATGATGTAGATATAGATACAAATGATGTACTTTGATGTACTTTTGGAAACTTTCCAGCTTTGGAACTATACGTGTATCTAAGGTGAAATCATATGTTTGTGAATAAGTACACGCACTATATAATTCCTTTATCTTATGTGAAGATACATAAAATTATACTAATCCTGTGCAAATTATTTTGAATAAGATAGTTTGAATACATTTTTCTGTTTCTGAAATAATTTAGAGGACATTTCCAAAATACATCATGCTCCTGAAAGATAAGACCATTTATCCATTATACCTGTGGAGAGGTTCTTTTTACTATTAGAACTTGTCATTAGAATAAGAGTAAAAATAGCATGAAGACCTTATTGCTTGTGTTTTTATCTTGCAGATATATCAGATCTACTATCAACTCAGCCAAGTGTTTCACCCACCCATATTGTGAATACGCCCAGTGCCAATACCATCAAATCTACCTCTATCACCACTGTTACCACCAAGCCCACAGCTACCACCAAGCTCACAGCTGCCACCACTAAGCCCACAGCTACGACCAAGCCTACCACCGCGACAACACCCACCACAACAGCCTCTGTCACCGAAAAGCCAGAGATAGAGACTCCAGATTTCTGTCCAGACAACCCTTGTGAAAATGACGGTGTCTGTGTTATTGTAGACAGAGCACAGGTGTGCAGGTAACTGCCTATATTCACTCTGAAATGCCATTTTAGGAAGAATAATGAAAGTCTGTAGTAGAATAAATCTTTGCTCCTAAGGAAGGGAAAGACGGACTTTAGCTGATTAAAACAAGTATTTCCAACTGCTACTGTGAGACTAAACTTATGACCAGTTTGGGCAACAGAGCTCCTAACCACAGCATTTGACTGTTAGAAGTACTCTGCTTGACTTCTCTGTAAATTGTATTTTAAATGTGTTTATCATTTTCAAGTAATGTCTTAGCCCAGTGTTATAAAGTGGACTGTGCACCTCCTTTGAACTCCCTATAGCAAAAGCTAGAAGAGTTAAGTATAAATGCAGTTGAAATAAAAGAGCATTTGTATCAGTAGAAAAGATGTTTAATACTTCTCAGGCAGGAAGCAGCACAGACATTGTTTTAGAATTTGATTCAGAAATACCGTTAGTGCAAATTATGACCATGAATTGCTGAAGTCTAGTTGCTTGTCTTTGATACCAGCAATGAAAGCTGAGACCTAAAAACATTGTTTGCCCTGCAGGAAAATTAATATCAACTTTTATTTAATTCTCTGTGGATACATTTATGTAACCCACCTGGCTTATTAGCATTGTTCCAGGTCTCAAACAAGCTCTAATGCTGAAGATAGTAACCTTATGTGAGGCTGTGCCAGGGCAGGTAGGCTGGAGGCAAATACCTAAAGGCCAAGAGCAACAAGAGTCAGGATGACTCATTGTTATATCTCCCCATTTAGAAACCTTTTGAAAAATAATTCTTGTGCAACTCATCAGAAAGAGGTCACAAATACGAGTAAATGTCAAGAAGCTGTTCCAAAAAGACAGATAAAAGTTATACTGAATGTTATGCCTGATTTTTAAATTACAGAGAGAACATTTAATTTCTGACATATCTGGACTATTTGAAGTTTTAGTGCCTATGGTGTGACCTACTTTCTGTCCTAGAGAATTACATGACCAGCAGTCAGTTTCTGCTCTGATTTTCTATTGAGAAACAAGGGGGAATGTGATACAGAACTTTAAGCCAGATCACATGAAGTCCCCCAACAGTCAGTGTCTTCACAGTGCACTGCAAATAGACTCATTTTCAGCGTTGAAGGTAGATTTGAATAAATGGCTTAGACAGGAACTAGAGAAAACAACACATAAGGAACAATCTGGGTTAGAAAGGGGCAGGTGTGTACTCAGAAGTACTGCACATGTACATTTCTAGTGTTAGATCATGGCATCCTTACATTTTCACTATAAAATGTTTTGGAGCTGATTGTGATGCTGGATAAGGTGAAGGAATCAAGTCCTGGAATCTGATTTTAGTTCTAAACCCAGATGGCTGCTAGGATGTTAGTCACTTAACTTCTTGGGAGAGGGCAGAGGCAGCTCATACAAGTTCTTTATATTTGAAAATTATCTCCTTCTGGAATAAGAAAGTCTCATCAGACCATTCCACATCTACTAGTGGAGAAGCACTGAGCAGGCAAAGGGGAATGTGGTGGGAGCACCTTTGGCTAGCTCAGTCATTGAACTGGGGAATTCCTGCAGCTAAGTTTTGGTTCAGCTGCTATCTGGTCAGAGGTGCCTTGAGAGTCCCTCCTGTGGTCTCCTCCCTGTTTATCTCACAGGTTCAAATTGCTGCATAAGGTGAGCTGAGAAATAAAAAAAACCTCAAAGAACATGTGAGGAAACAGGAGAATGACATTTCCTGGAAATGTAGTTTGATCAGATAAAAATAGCAGTGTAAAACTTCTGGACCAGTTGCCCCAGGAGCTCATTCAACTCCTTCCTACAAAGGCTTTTTGAAGAAGATAGAAGGGCTTGGTGTGAGAGATGAGCATGATAAAAGGCAGAACTGCATGAGGATTTGAGGCTAATTAGTAATAGTGGGAGCAAGTATTATATGACATTGGTCCCAGTGACAGGTATTAGTTTCATGGAACAGAAAGAGAGTTTTCTATCAACATAAGTACTACAAACGTCAAGGAAGAGGAAGCAGATAAGTGAACTGAGTGATACAGAGGGTGTCTTCGTTGGAAGCTAAAGGCAATCATTCTATAGCAGCAGCTCTATAGAGCAGCTGCAGAGAAGCATTAAGCAGTCAAATGTATCAGGATGGTCCTTGGGTTTTCTGGCAAAGGCTCTCTCTGAAGACATGACCTGAAAAACAGCAGGAAGCTGAAAAAAAGCACATGTGTAAAGGCAGTTGTCCACGCAAGACAACTTTAAAATAGAAGTCCATTTTCAGATAACTTCATTATGCTCTGGCATATAGAAACAGTGCATCAAAGATGCAGTTTTTCTTAAGTAGACCTTTTCATGCCTTTAATCTTTAGGTGATGACAGCACACATTTGTTCTTTTACTTCTAGGTGTCCCGCAGCTGACAACTGGTGGTACATGGGAGAAAAGTGTGAAAAGAAAGGCACAACTCAAGAAAATACTGTAATAGCTGTTTCTTCAACCATGGCTGTATTTGTTGTAATGCTTATTGTCACTATCACAACTGCAGTGTGCCTTAAAAAGAAATATAGCCAAAGAAAGGAAAATGGGGAGAACCTGACTCTAGAGGTAAGTATTCTGTCTCTTTTAACAAATGTATGTGTAAGTACACACACATATTTACTAAAAAGTAAACAACCAAATTCGGTAAGAAGTAAACTGGAAGATACCACATTTTGGCAGTTTGAAGGCTACAGCATAAAAATTAAAGAGCTCAATAAATTGCTACTAATTTATCAAACACCAAAAAGCCACTTCATCCCCCATTCCCAGCACTCTAACTGCTCTGATGGCAGCCTACTTGGAGTGGGGAGAGTGTGAACAAAGGGGCTTATTTTCAATTTGTAACTAAACTGTGTTTTCCACTTGGTGGACTTGTATTTCATCTATTACTGCATTTTCTACTAAAGATCACACCTGGAAATGGTGCTAAAAACCCAAGCCTGAAATATCAAAGCAAAAAGCAAATCTAAAAATCAGTTTCCTTATTCAGTGGCCATTTTTTATTGCAATGAACAAAGTAGCCATGGAAATCATGAGATTTCCATGGGAGGAAAGAGATTTCCATGGAGGGAGAGGTAAGAGAAGACAGAATGTTGAAACTATCTGAATGACGGGATCACAAAGGCCATGTAGTGAATAGCAGCAGCATTTGGGCAGGTTTTCACAGGAAATTTCATAAAGTCCAAGGCACATAGTCTCTTGGTTTAAACAGAGATTTAAAAGTTGGAAACAGTAAGAGTGACATAACTTAGAAGGACTCACAAAGCACAGGAGAAACTCTGTAAGCAGATTGAAGAGGATTGGCCTTTCAGACAGCAGAATTCCATTTTTAATTGTGTAATAATATAGCAGCCTTCCAGTATCTGAAGGGGGCCTATAGGGATGCTGGGGAGGCACTCTTCATTAGGGACTGTAGTGATAGGACAAGGGATAATGGGTTAAAACTCAAACAGGGGAAGTTTAAATTGGATATAAGGAGGAAATTCTTTCCTGTTAGGGTGGTGAGGCACTGGAATGGGTTGCCCAGGGAGGTTGTGAATGCTCCATCCCTGGCAGGTTGGACGAGGCCTTGGGTGATATGGTTTAGCATAAGGTGTCCCTGCCCATGGCAGGGGGGTTGGAACTTGATGATCTTTAGGTCCTTTCCAACCCTAACTATTCTATGATTCTATGATTCTATAATAATATCCTTTGTGTGCTATCCTGTTGGGGTGCAGAACCTCTGTGCAATGCCAGATACTTGACACTGTTAATTTATGACCTTCCAATAGACAGTTTTGGTTTCTTTGCATGTAATGCTCTTACAGTATATACGTATTCCCTTCCCTACACTCTTTTAAGATGCGGCTGTTTGCTTCTTTTTTCCTATTTAGACTAGAACAGCCTTCTGAAGATAATGCAAACAAGCATCAAAGACACAAGACGAACATCACTTGAAAACCACAACTATGTCATTGTTCTTTCTTTTATTTTTATTTTAACCATCATGATAAAGGCTTATAAAGTCTGGAAAATAATTCATCATCTGGATAAAATACTGCACTAAAGTCAGTGAGTGTCTGACAGTGTTGTGTATTGCCGTGCAATGGAGCAAAATGAGAATATATTGTATGACATGCCTTTAAGTCTACCGGAACGTGAAGAAAACATGTAAAACTGCCTCCTGACTTTCAATCAGCACAGTGAAGTCTAGGTTGCTATCTTATCATCATACAGATGTCTATAATAAATGGGAGTCGGACCCTGTAATCACTGGGTATGCTGTGGTTCTGAGTGCTGCAACAGCTGTCAGTCAGTAGTGTGAGGGTATGTGGAGCATGGGAGCTTCTGGTTCATTAAGTTATTTGGTCACGATCTACTTACTATAAAAGAAATAAATAGGAAAGTAATAAATTAACCACACAGACGTGCAAACATTAAGGAGGAAGTCACAACAGAGACAGTAATGAGGACCCAGAACACTTCAGCTGATGATTGATGTCCCATTAAAGGAACTACTCAGGCAGAGTCTTCAAGAATGTCAATCTGAACAACAATTTTCCACTGACGGGGGGAACCATGATTAACATGAGTATTGTGGAAAACCAGAGGCTATCAGAAGAGGTTTGTGGACTTATGTAAAAATGACTATGGTATGTTTAGGGAAAGGGCCAAAGAATACAAAGATGAGGGGAAGGATCATGGTGGATTGGCGAAGAGCTAGTGTGGGAAAAATGGTGCCAGCTACTGCAGAGACTGGCAGGCAAGAGAGAACTGTGTTTCAACGACCAGAGAAATCCACAGGTCTTAGGGCTTGTGGGTCTAGGTACTAGCACATGGAGGGACTAGCATGCAAGAACCTGTGTGCCAGCAGTTGGAAGGACCATGGGCTGAATGGCTAAACACCAGCATCTGGAAGGACTGGTGTGTGTTGAAAGGTCCAACTGCCATCAACCAGATAAGAGGCCATGGGCAGCACAGCTGTAGGTCTGGGTGGTAGCAGCTGGAAGGATGAGGTTTTATGTGGGTTTGAAAGAGGTCTAAGCGCTGGCAATTGCAGAGACATGGGTCTGTTTATATTTCTTCATTGAATTTAATCCTCCCCAGGCAAACTTCAAGCTGGATTAGCTGGTGAGTTGGAAGAAACATTTCCACATCTGGAGGTCTTGATCTGAGCCGCTGACTGGAGAAAGAGAGCCCAGGGTCCAGGCGTGGATATTAGGCAGTCTGAAAGCCTATGATAATATTCAAAGGCACTGTGGGAGTGTTTATGTGATGAATCTGTGAGTGTATGCATCTGTTTCACTACCAAACATCACATTGCTCTATCTGGCAAGTAGGAGGTGACTTGTATACCAGTTAAAGGATCCCATGTCCAGGCTTGGCTATTAAACAGGTTTAGGGGCCATGCTAACATTCAAGGGGGCTATGAATGTGGGTGTATTTGTGGATGTGGAGAATGAGGCCATTTGTTTTCACCATAGAACCTCCATTCTGATCAGCTGGAGGGGAGGAAGAGGACAGAGTGTTTGCACCTGTGTGAGTTTGGGTAGCATGGTAGGTGGGTTGTGCTACCCACCCTGCTCTGTGTGTGTGTGCAGCAGTCTGTGCATTCAGCCACATTAAGGACCTCTGTGTGTGTGTGTCTCTTGGGTACACACTCAATTTTGCTATAGGCTGGACCTGCAAACACAAAACAACTGAATCCCTGGGAATGGGATGTAAAGATTATCTGGGACCATTCCTGGCTAGGCATTTTGTCTGGGGAGAAGGGATTATTGGTCTTGTAGATTTGCTGACACTGTTAACAGCCTTGGCAAGTAGGTTGGGCTACAATTCAGTGGGAATTGTATGGAAATACATGAGCCACAGGAAGCAAAGTGTACTTCCCTAAGGACACTTCGCAGAGGAAGATGGCAGTCACCATGGGCACAGATCATCACATTTGCAGTGGTTTGGAGCAGGGCTGTAAGAGACAGGAGTGCCAGTAATAGAAATGTCAGGTCACACCAGATGGTTGGTAGACTGGTATGTGAATATGTTCACATTTAAAGGTCAGCAGCTACTTTGGTTCCCTGGATGGATGTTGATCATCATAACATTTACTGTGCAGTTTACCCTAACTCTGGGCAAGAGCAGTTCAAATGTATGGAAATTTGATGAGGGAACTAGTTTTTCTCTAAATGGCACTGCATGGCACAAAGCAACAAATGTGTACGCTTTTGTACCGGCATTACATATGTAGTCCTCCTCTGATTGATATTCTCTGAAATGTAGTTATATTTAAAGCATTCATAGCTGGTTTTATTAGCTTTTGTCAGAACCCAAAGATTCGTGAAAGCAGCCAGACAAAATTAACAAAGAATCGTCAGAGCTGACAAACATCCTGGATAGGAAGATACCCTACTATAGCTGTCTTAAAATAACTTTCCTATTTTGACATGTCTTCATCAGCAGTTTTCATGCAAATAATCCTCCAAATGTGCCTTCAATTAAGATATGCACATAGATTTACATGGAGTTAAGAAGACACAAATGAGACTGTTCATTAATTCAACTGTGGCTAAAATACTTAACATTATAAACAGCGAGCATTTCATAATTTCAAATGTTAACTGCCAGATTTGTTACTGCAGAGATAATTTATATCTTTTGAAATCCACATTGCATGAAACGGCATAAATACATACCTGTGCTTTCATCAGAAGAGAGCTTAATACACAGAGCAATGTATTACAATGCATTACGCAAAATACGAATACCGTAGGGTATATGCTGAAATGGTAAACTTCCATGGGGGGAAAAAACCCAACCTTATGCTTCTGCTTATTCATTTCAAATAGGAATCAATGAAGAACAGAACTTAAAACTGAATTTCCGTGTCAGCGAATATGAACAACTCACTTTTCAGTGGTGTGCAGACTCCATAGAACCAAAAGAGACTGTTTTCATTAATGTCATTAAGTGACCTGACATTCTCATGAGGAAAATGCTTTTTTTTGTTTCAATTTACAATGCAGAAAAATTACTCAGGAAGCCCAGCATAAGATCCAGTATTGCACTTCACTGTCTACCACAAAAGTTACACTGCTAGCTCAAGTTCCTGAACAAACACGTTTTTCTTAGACAGCTTAAGCACAACTGACTTACACTGAAGGTATTTTCCTGTGAAGAAAGAAAGTGAGAGATTAAAAGTACATATGTGGTTTAGGAAATGAAGTGTTTCAGCTGGAATTTTCTTCTTTATGTGTGGATACTTTACTTGGATTTGTAATTTAACTGGTTAAAGCTACAATGCCTCAGTAGTGCTCACCCCTTGTGAAAACAGCAACAAAAATTCACCAGCCCAATCCTACAGCTTCCCTCTGGAGCTGACTTTCCTTCTTCCCTGACTTTGCCTACATGGTTACTATGTCTGCATCCGTTATTTTTCATGAAATAGCTTAATTTTGGAGATGTACATGTGACACGTTTACAAACTTCATCATGGATAGATACTGCGTTGGTCAGCCAGAGACCCATGCATGGTGTTGCAGCCTGGGTATTGTCTTCCCTAAAGCAGATTTATTCACATAAAATTTTAGTAAAAGCCTTTAATGTAAACTTCTCTGTGTGAAATCACCCAAATACTAATAGGATAGTAAAACCCACCAACATTAGACCTGCAGCAAGTTCCACTTTCCCATCCTTCTCCCAGTGTGATGATTCAGGTTAAGATTTGTGGCAAGGATTTGCTCAGCCTGCATCCCTGGTCAGGCACATTCTGCTCCTAGAAAACAGGACTAGTGGAAAAAAACTATTATTGGGTTCTCACAATGTGCAGAACAAGGGCTTGAACTGTGGATATTGACTCCATGGGTCAACTGCCCTGCTCCTGTTTCACATTCATGTGATCTCTGCCGGTACCTGGTGGCTGCTTCCCCCAGCAAAAAAGACCCAGGCTTAAGTGAATGTTGTCTCTGCTCCTCCTTTTCTGGGCTCCGGACTAGCTGTACAGCTGGAGCCAGCACAGTATGTGCACATTGTATTTAGAGCTGTGTGCATGACTCATTCCCCACTGCTGAGTCTATCAGAGCCACAGCATGGGTTTAAAAATCAAACAGAATAACCCCAGTATTCAAGTCAGTGGCTCAGGTTTGGATTAAGAAAAAAGGTAGGCTGTTCTCGCTGCTTAGCAGTCTTTCTCCAAGGATCTCAGCATTGCAGAAAATCTTTTAGGCATGCTACCCAATATCTATGCTAAACAGCCTCATATTCCTGATATAGGCAAACCAGACCAATTTCATTGCTATTTGCATCACACGGATCAGCTTGCTCAGTCTAGCTCTTTTTTGCACAAGTAGCAAATACCTGAATCATAATGTCTAACAGTCTGGCTGACACTGCATCGGCTAAATACAAAAAAGGGACCGATCCTAGACACCAGCTCTCTCTTGTCTCGTATCACCCGTGCCAGCAGACATGGGTGCAGGGTGCACAGCAGCAGTTGTGAGTTATTTTGTTTGGGTGCAGATCAAAGCACAGAAGTGGTATTTCTCCTTTCCTTTCCTTCCCTTCCCCTCCCCCCCCCTCCCCGGCCCCTCCCTGTTTCCTTTCCCTCTCCTATTAGAGCTTGGGGGCTCTTGCTAAGACACAGATTTTCAAGCTATCATCTTCAGCGCCAGTAGTACAGATAGTCATGTCTCAAAAGGAGAAGATAACCATCAAATAAACTGCCTTTCCTGAACAGTCAGTTGCTGCTTTTCAAATCTAGAGTTGTTGCCTAGAGACTTTTGTAGTATTTGATGCACTAATGGCAAAATACCTCTATTTTGCTCTGTGTTATGAAATGATAAAGAAATTTAATATACGGTGATCTCATTTTCCCACTTCTTTCAACTCCATATATTCTAGTTTATTGCAAAAGACAGCTCAGAAGTCAAGTTTTAGTCATTATTTTTTGTGCAAGAAGATGATGAATTTTTGTCAGTGGACAGATTTCACGTGGCTGCTCTCCTTGTCCTGTGTCCTTTCTGAGCACCAGCAGAATGAACTGGGAAAAAAACAATGACCGCAGCAATTCAGGCTGATCACCCCTCCTACTCCCAAATTAATAATTTTCTAGAGTGCATATGAATCAGTCTCCTTTGTATCAAACTTCTTCAAAGTCATCATCCATCACATCAGTGCCACCTTTTCTGTCATGTAATTCCACCCCCCCCCCCCCCCCAAGTCAGTTTATTACTTACAACATGTACACAGTAACTGGTGTCATAAAGGCTGAAGGCAGG